AATACAAACTCAACCAAGTTAGAATCACCATTTTTAAAGTCATAAAATAGATAACAGATTGATTTTTCAGGAAAATAAGCTTTAAAACGTATTACATATGGTTCACTTCCTTGATTTTGGTGATGATGAACATAGATGTTTGTAGTTGTTTATAAACTGTAGTTACAAGCAATTAAGCGTTAATCCATTTATGAATATTATATAACTTGTTAATATTTAGCCATAAACAGTTATGCCCATTATAAGTATCACTGGTTTGTACGGAAGTAACATATTATTATGTAACGTATTTGATAAGAATTATGTGATTAACAATTGACGTTGATAGTCATCTCCGTCCGCTTTCTGAACGTATACCGGAACAGTATATAAGACCACTGGAAGTGCCATGTTAAGTAGTCACGTAGAATCTATAAGTAAAACGATGCGTGATGATAAAAGTACTCTTCCATACTTTTTGGAACTCTTTTAGTACGTTATCAAAGTCATCACAGTATGCGAAACGCTTGTTCAGTATCATACTTTGAAAGGCAAGGCTAAGGTCCACTGAAATGTCGCTTTAGCACGAAGCACGACAAGCAGAAATCACTATTTATAAAAAAATAATTCCGTGGAATGACAATAACTCAAGGAAGTACTACAAATACTTAAGATGTACCGCTGATTTGACACTTCGCAGAGGTTTAATACAGCAGTTGGGACCACAGATCAAATTACGAAGCAACAACAGAGCCAACGTGTACACTACAAGAAAGAGAACGCTAAATTAATGCTTTCGACTGTTATTTTGTGCTTTTTAATGCAACAAAACATGACTTAAATGCGAAAAAACTTGATACTCATGCAACCCAACAAACCAACGACAATTGAAATACGGAATGACCGCCTCTTGTTAGCCCGTTCAAGGTCGTTGAAACGAAAGCGCGGGCAACTTCGAACGGCTCTAACGTTTTTCCTGTGCCGAAGGATTTACAGTGTAGTTTTTGTCCTGAAACAAGTTCGTTGCTAATTCATATGCATATATTTTCTGTACATTCACAAAATGTTCTCTATTCACTGTATGACTTAAACCCTTGGTACATGTCTAGCTTCTGTTAGATTCATAACTTATGAATTTTGTTTCCAGTATATATATATATATATTCTTAAAAATACTCTTAACGTTTGTTGGAAACAAACAATGCTTTCGGACAGTACACCGAGATTAATCTTAACACTACTTTAGGCCATTAATTCTTTTGTTGGAGAATTATTTCTAGAACTTCGGTGAGCCTCTTAAGATCATTGGTCTTGTTCACAACATATCCTAATATAATGGGTGCAAGCAAATCAGTTAATGTAGCGGCAAGCCCTAATTAAAAGAAGCATAGCGCCAAGTTCTATTAAAAGTAGACTCGGCTGCATAGATAATATGGGGGTTAACGATGAAGAGCATCTGGTCCTGGTGGATTGGCTCCAGAGAACTTTAAGTATAATGGTCTAGTTTTAGCGATTAAGTTGACCAATACTTTAGCGAAAATTTGGGATTTGGGCGTAATCCCATCTGACTGGTCACAATCATTGATTGTCCCAATATATAAGAAAGGGTCAAAATCATCCTGTGATAACCATGGGAGGATTAATTTGACTTATATAGCATCTAAAGTACTATTCTCAACAATTATCAAACGTTTAACAAAGATTTGCGGACTACAAACACGAGAAAATCAGGCTGGCTTCAGACCTGGTCGTGACTACATCGACCACATATCCACCATTCGTCAGGTTCTAGAACACAGGCATACTTTTCGGCGTCCGACAATGGTAGTCTTCCTTGACCTAAAAGTAGCATTTGACTCTGCAGACCGAAAGGTTCTGTGGCAGTGTCTGTCATTGAAAGGCGTACCTCAGAAGTACATAAACCCTTGAAGGCTCTTTATTTGAACACTACTAGTTGAACCAGAATTTATGGAGAACTGTCACCTGATTTTACAATCTCAAGTGGTGTCCGACAAGGATGTCCACCATCTTCACTTGTGTTCAGTTTTGTCATAGACCTACTGTTTGGGAATAACTTTCTCGCTGACTGAATTTTCGGGTATTGATCTTCTACTAGGAGGTCCACTTATTAACTTAGAATACGCAGATGACATAGTCCTGTTTGGTGAAGATGCTGATAAAATACAGTCGTTTAATAGCACTGAGCAGCAATGCCAGGATGTTTGGGATGTGTTTTCCCTATCTAAATGCAAGTTGTTGCTCCAGGACTGGCTTGCATCAACACCTGGAGTGAAGTAGTCGAACGCTTCAACAACTTCACTTATCTTGAAAGTTTGATCAGCCCTAATGGGTTGGTGTGTGACGAAATCTCAGCACGGGTACAGAAGGCTTGACTAGTTTTTGCCAACTCGCGTCATTTATGGCGTAGGCTAGATATCCATCTACCAATCAAAGGAAGAGTTTACTGTGTAGCAGTTCGTCCCGTCCTACTTTATGGCTGTGAAACATGGCCAGTAATAGTTGAGGATATTTGTAGGTTACTAGTATTCGATCATAGGTGTCTTCGAAGCATTGCTCGTAAATCCTGGGACCACCGAGTAAGTGATGCAGTTGTTAGGAAACGGGTACTAGGTAAGGATGGCAAATCAATTGATGAAGTAGTGAAACTTAATCAGTTGAGATGGCTGGGACATTGGTTACGTATGCCCGACCTCCGACTGCTCCGACGAGCAATGTTTTATGGTGTAGGGTTAGGTTGAAGAAAAGCTAGGGGTGGCCAAACCAAAACATGGCACAAATACATGAAGTCACTGACAAGTGAACTGAGCCATGTTAGTAGATGTAAACTACCTGGTTGGGATCCGCGAGATGATGGTTAGAGTTTTTGAATTACTTGGCTCAAAATCGTTTGCAATGGCGCAGGTGCATCCATACTTTGTGTTCTCCCAAATTCTAATCTTCTGAATTCTTCATGTCCTTTTCTTTCTTTTACCTAATTCATTTCACTGGATTGTACTCCTTAAATTACATCAAACCCTAATATTTCTGATTACAGCTTATACTCTTACTACCTCTACCACTACGGAATTTGAATCGGCAACTGCATCTCTGTGCTAATGTGGTATGGCGATTCGAACTGATGTACGTATGTACGAAGTTCTACCTTGTTACTGACTAAATGAGAAGATACTCGTAAGCTACTAGTATTTGATCACATGTCTTAGAAATATTACTCGTATATGGGGGGATCACCAGGTAAGTAATAGTGAAGTTAAACTCAAGGTATTAGGGGATGATGGTAAATCTTCATCGACTGAGGTGGTTGGGCCACTTGTTACTAGTGTTGGGGATGGTTGGAAGAAAGTTAGGGACAGCCAATCTGAAATATGGCACCAGTCTCTGAAGTCACTAACTTCTGGTCTGAGCCATGTTGATAGATGCACACTACTTGGTTGGGGTCCACGTGACTATCGTAACCAATGGTTGGGGACTGCGTGACATGGCTCAGAATCGGTCACAATGGAGTAGGTGTATACACTGTCTTCCCTTAAACTATGAGATTAAAATTGCTTCATATATTTATTTCTACGAACTAATTCTTTCTTCCTGTACTATATCCTTATACACAATCTTTCATACATTACTACCATTGAAGTGACTACTATAAATTTGGTGTTCATCTTGTTGGGCTCATGAAGTGTGGCGAATTGGACCGATGCATATATGTGCCTGGTCCTACGCTGCAGCTGACTGACTGAGGAGGAGATCGAAGGAAAAAAGAGCGAGAACAGAGTGATTGGTGTAGACGAAAGAACAATAAAGTCTGAGACACTTGGCTGAAACTTCGCAAACGAAGTGTTTACTGTATGGTTTTTAGACTTTACCAAGAGACTGTGATTTTGTGTTCAAATACATTCGGTTGTCCCCACTGGTGTTCTCGTTCACTACAATGCTTCATTCAAATGGACTAAATTAACGCCATACAGTAACGAGAAACATGTTTAGTTAGACACTGAGATTCATTTACAAGATTTTAATTTATTTATTTCCTTGTGGAATCGATTGGAATACAATGTTGTAAGCACACTTTTACGTCATTTTCTGCAATTCGACTTTATAAGATTTACTGTAAGTTTAGGTGAAAACTATGTAATCTGGTAGATTCCGAAATGGGCTAAGTCGCTTCAGTTTTGCTTTATTTCAAATTATCTAAAGTCCCCAATGCTTTACTAAACTCAATTTTAGACTAGTCTATAGGATGTTTCAACGACTCGCTTATTTTTTGAGATGTCAGGGTTCTTCCTTATTAGCCTTCACTAGAGTTTGCTGACCATGTCATAAAACAAATTATGCGATCCACATGACTTTTCGAGGATACGGGTTAGTGTATTTACCTACAATCCCTGAAAATTAATTCTTCATGGGTGTTGTTAAGTTATTGATTAAAAGAATCGTTTCGTAGTACTTACAGAATCTTTTTCTGTATTGAATGTGATTGTAACCCCACTTGGTAAATAGTAAGTTTCCCCTCATAAACATATTGGACATATCAACCAGGTGTTAATATGACTACCAAAGCAGTTGTAGTAATCGATACACTCATCTGTTATACTTTGAACTGATTGAACATAGATATATGACAGTACTAATGCTCCTAGCACTTACAAAATTCGTCAAAAATCTTTAAGGTTAGTTGAGGACAGCAAGAGGCTTTTATTAATAATTTTAGTACTCTGAAACTGTAGTGTCCCCTTAATAATTTCATCAAAGTTCCCCGATACGTGTCTTAGTAGTTCATTATCTGTTATATCCACCTAGTTTTTTGTCGGAGTTGCGTTGCGTTATCGATAGTAAACAGTAGTTTTATTTTTAGTTACTGAATGGTTGTCATTGATGCTTATCATAATGCGAAATTTCTGTTTCTTATAAATATTCTAAAGTGTTAGTTATCAAATTTCTACGATTAATTCTTTGTATAAACTTTTAGGTCGATTTTTATCATCAGTGAATTTCTTCAAATAATGACAAAAACAAAGAAGCGATCCGTTGATAGTTCAAATGTTCGTATCTGTTCCCCCGTTAATGATTATTATGTAGGTTCTCTGTTCTCGTGATGTGTCGAAAATACGCAAATTAATGCGAGAAAATATTGATGAAGAAAAGTTTGCTAAACAATTCTAATTTCCATTATTTCTTCAGATTAGTTGTTTCGAAATCCCTAACCGATGACGCTGCAATTATAGAGTCAGAGTCTGATAATGAGGAATCTGAGGAAGAAGGATTCCAACTAAATCTTCCTGATTTCGTACGTGATTATATATACATCTTCAGATTGCTTTTCATCTATCCATAGGATTCATGTGGTGGTGACGTTTTGGAAGATGATGAAGATTGGAAGAAGTTTTTCAAATCGACCAGCGAAAACAAGGAACTAGTGACAGAACTTAAAAAAAATTTGGCTGAATCAAAGTTGAAGGTAAATTAAGGGTTACTAATCTGAATGGCATTTTTATATGGTAATGTTAAATTTCCGTTTCCTGTGTATGAATAAGATGGATTGTTTTGTGTTTCCACGGTGAAGATTATGCAGGAATACTTAACCGTAATTAGTTTTATCTTCTACATTAGAGTTACCGAGCACAGTAAACAGAGATAAGTACAAACCATCACAAATTTAATCATCATTCCGTCTTCATTTTAAGGAAAGTTTAGTGTTCTTAGCTGAGCTGTATCTTTCACTATAGAAGAAAGGAAATATGTCTCCTTAAATGAACAAAAAGATTAGTTAGACTATTTGTTGTTACTAGTCTGGTTATAGCTGTCAATATTTGAATTAAGAAAGTTGTTAGTATATTGTTCTACACAAAATTGCTATTCAGTTGAACAAGATTATATCAATAGATGATTTTTTATTTAAGCATTCATCGGTTTCCTTTTAATCTGTCTTGTTTGTGATATGCCTTAATTTGGGCACGTTTTGTTCTGCCATACTAATCTATCCTTACTTGTTGTTTGTGTGTTGAGATATTTCACCACACCAGAGCCCCTCAACGAGAGGGGAAAAATAAAGGGAACACAGCCATTTCCTCCAGATGCCATCTATAGTAGTTGACACTCTCACCACCATGTAGCTTGAAAGTGTGAAATAACGTCCTAAATCAAATCACCTGCAGATCAAGTGTGCGAAGTCATCCATAAGTATACTTACTCCGAGGGGCCTCAAGTGCCTCCAAAGACCATGTGTAAATTAAATAATCAGCTTGGTGAGACTGAAAATATGGGTGTATATAGCGCTGACATTAGTCTTCCCATAATCAAAATATTAAGCGTGGATGGATTCTTCCGGTAAATTAAGTTTTAGATGTTTATACTCTAACAAGGAAGTCGTTGTGGAATGCATATTTCGTTCAGGTGGTACAGTTTGCGCTGCTATCGTGATAGCATAGATAAATAGTCTCAGTAAGCCAAACTGGTCATGCGTCTGAGCGAAGAATCAGGAAAGAGAATTCGTGTTGTCGGATGATGCAAACCGTTCTGTATAATACATTTCTTGGTACCTTGTTTCACTAAGTAGTCTTTTATATATCAATTAACAAGAATTTAACCTCATGAAAATAAGGTATACTAAGCTGATTTCGTCCAGAATTCAGTTTCAAATCGTCTGACTTAACTCGGTCCGATAGATAAAAAATATGGGTGTTTTCAGTCAGTAACTTATTGTGAAAATAACAAATTATCCACACTGTGTTATCGAATTTCTTACTTGATATGGAACTTCATTAATGAATGACCAAAAGCGTTTATTTACTTTGGGGACATGTTCGAAGAAGCAAACAGGTAACAGTCATCTGTCCATTGTTGTACCATTTATCTTTTGGCGACAACATGGGAATACATTTGGATAAAAAATGACGGTGACTGATGTTGAATGCATATTCACCTTGATGAAACTGATTTAAAGCACTCGATTACAGAATAACATCTTTTTTAAAAATATAACTATAAAGTTAAATTCACAACGAAATATTATTATTCAAAAAATTAAGTACGAAACTGTTATTGATCATTATTGTTTCTGTTCATTCATTATTCTAGATTTCTGAAGATATGTCTCAGTACACTGGTAGTATTATTGGTGATTTAGATGAAGTAAGAGGATTCGAAAGTTTAAATGAACTTCCTGAAGAACTACGGGATCATTTAAATCTTTTAATTGATGTACTTAGAAGTTACAGAAGTGGACCATTACCAAAAACAATCAAAATGTTACCACATTTAGATGGATGGGATAGTTTGTTAGAGATGTTAAAACCATTAGAATGGTCAGTTCATGTATATCCACGTATTGTTAAAGTGTTTGCATCTAAAGGTCATGAACCAGCAAATCAGTAAGATTTTGTAAATTTTTATCTGTATAATTTGTTAACTAATTGTTTGTTCATATTCTTTAAATAGTTGTTTTTCTACCTAATTAAATTGTTAATTAATTTATATATTTTGATTAAATCAAGTCTGTTTTAAAATGTTTCTATGAAAACACTAAATTAAACTCTAAGTATGTTTAATAATGATATATGTGTAAATATACTAATGAGTAAACAGTTAAATTTTCTGATTTTTCATCAATCATTAAAAAGAAATGGTTTACATTGAACCACGAAGCTTTGGAAAATCTAATTATTTACTCATTAGTATATTCATAAACACACCATTATTTTTCATTATTAACAAAATCAACTCTGGAGTGCAGACACATCACATCCAACTGACGAGTCCCAAATAGGACGAAACTCGCGTCCTAAATTCCACTGATAGCCACCATCCATTATTGCTTATAAATCTACCTAATGTTCAATTTATTTGAAATTATCAAATGAAACCTTGGTAATGATCCTTTTAAAAAGGATTTGTTCAAACATTCATAAGTAGTATTTTCTACTTATGCCATTAAAAAAACTAATCCAAGATTTCTAATAATGTAACTCATTTGTCAACCACAGACTTTTTAAACCTCATTATTTGTAAGAATTAGCAACACTGCCTTGGTGATCAAAGAAAACCAGATGAATTGAAGTTCTAATATATATCTTTACTGAAAGATTTCTGCATCACTAATATTTATTCAATTGATCTATTTTTATGTAAATGGTTAGTTTAGAGAAATACATCCTCACTTGCTTACTAAAAATGTTTTCCGAAGTTTGGAAGAAATGAGCAAATGAAACATTTTTAATATATTTAAAACTGTGTACCTTCATTTTCTTGTGATGAGGTTCAGAAATATCCTTTTTCTTCATAGCATCTACTTATCTGTATTTATGTATTTTTAAATGGAATTTATTGTATTCATTCTAAAGGAGAACATCTGTTATGACTAGTAATACTTGGCTACTAGTGTCACATTTCAATAGCTTTATTAATCAAGATTATCCAATGGTTATGAAGTTATCGGGATAGAAAATATTTTTTGATCGGTTACTTTTCTTAATTTATATGTAGTTAGTAATTAGGAATTTGTTACTAAACCTTCTCTATTTTTAACCGACCACTTCTTGAATTCAGTCCGAATTAGTTAAGCTTGACCAAATCATGTTCTTTAGGGTATATACGTAATCTGGGGTATACTACTTCTATCCTATACCCTGTATATGCTTTTCTGGTTACGGACAAAAACATATCCATATTTCGTTCACTAACCATTGATGTCAAGTACTTAGCTTGTCCTTTGAATAGGACTTACTGGAGGACTCACCAAACTTTTTCTAGATCCGGATAAAGAAAAATAAAATGTACACATTGTTATTTAGTTCTATGATGGGAGTAACCAGCTGTTCATTACTTTCTTGAATTATCAGTATAATGTCATGGCAATTGCGTTTTTATCTAGATCGTGTACCGATCAGTGTTAAACCACCAGTGAAAGCCTGGGAGCACTGGACGACCTCTTCGTCCTAGTATGGGACTCCACAGTAGTGCAGATACACGATCCCGCACGCGAGTACCAAACCCAGATCCTTTGGACTAGCGAGACCACTAAACCAGTATCCAACGGTGCTAACGCCTAACTTCAATCGATCCACGATACTACGTGACCAGTGGAGTTCAACTGTGTCGAGTATGAGGCAGTTACCCACCGAAGACAACAGATGGTCGCTCAATATTGTGATCAATATCATGATCTCAACAAAAACTTTCTTCAATATTCAGTCTGTAAATCATTGATATAAGTCTAAGCTTTTCTGTCTGATTATTAGTTGTACATTTTAAGAATCTATGTATATTAATCATAATAACATCCAGAATAGCTGAAGTTTTCAAGATGTATAGATATTTATTGTCAGTCTATGAAATGTTTATATTCCGTACACATGTTAAAAGTTCCCACTGTATTATTAAGATGTGAATTGGGCCAATCCTAGCTATTAATATCTATGAATCAATGTTTGTTAAAACTACAAGAAATAAACTTCAAAATTCAATCCTAACACTGTTCCATAGTCATTTAAACTGAAGTTCTCCATCTTATGACTTTTCTCCCTTTCAGCTTTTTTGAATCTTATCTATTACCCAAAGTGAAACAAGATATTGAAGAAAACAAACGTTTATGTGTTCATTTATATGAAGCATTAATTGCATCTATGTTTCGACCAGAAGAGTTTGTTTCTGGTGTTTATCTACCTTGGGTTCAGGTAAATTTTGTCTCATAGTGGTGTTTTTTCTTTTTTTTTTCAAAAAGAAAAAACTCAAAGTTGGTGCTGTAATTCAATGAAACAGATACTTCAGCGATTACAGTTTGTTCATAGATGTTATTATTTTTTTTATTAGTTACACATTCTAAGAAGCAGTAGCGTTAATACATTCACTCTTTATCTCCTCTAGATCCTGAATTACAATCTTCGTTCATATATACCCATTTCATACTGTCTTTTCGAGTCATATTCTTCGTGTTTAATCTCATTATTACTGTTGATACATTATTCTGATTCCTTTGCTAATTTTATCTCTTAGTGCCAACTTTATATAGCAACTTGTGTTACTTCATATATACACCAATCTTTAGATTGATCGTCCTAAGCAAAGATGGGTGGTGGCTAGCAGTGGACTCCAGGACGCGCGTTTCGTCGGGACTTAATAACTATGTGGATAACAGGATGGCGTTTGAGACGAATGGTACTTGGTTCGATTTCTGGAGTGAATATGCAGGCACATCACATCCAGCTGACAAGTCCCAAATAGAACGAAACGCGCTTCCTGGATTCCACTGGTAGCCACCATCCATCTTTGTTTGGAATGCTTGTGGTAATATCGAGGTAATCCGTACAGGATGCACATATACCAATAAGAGACTGATCAATCGCAATCCTAAACATTAATGGGAAGATTTAAATAAGCAATACAAAATAAATTTGATGATAACTAAACTCTTATTTCTTACTCACTTCAAAATCTTTCATAAAAATTCGGAAATACATTTCTGTAACTACGTACAACATTGAATTTAAAGTAGAAGATTTATTGCAATCTAGTAATCGAGTCCAGATTCATGTACTGGAATCTGATCTATAGTTAACACGAAGTTGTTGTAAATTCTCATTTCTACAAAACGGCATCAATGAGAATATTATTTTATTCTGTTTCCAATCACCATCTATAGTCTTTTCCAATTAATCTTCTGTATTTCAAAAGAAAATGTGCTTTTTAAATGAACTTAATCACAAGTGAATGTTAATCAGGCAAGTTGTAGAGACTAGGGGTAACTAATGAATTTTTTCCATTCTACAGTTTGTCTGTAGGACTTATTTTCAGGTGCCATCAAGCCCCTAGAATACGTAGTGAACATATCAACTAGTGAACGTTTCGATTCTGTCTTGTAGTGAAGGGGACAAAACTCCATCTGAGGTGGACAGCGCATTCTTCAAAATAATTGCTAGCATTTGGTATCAGAAGTCATTGATTTGAAATTACATTTCAGAAAATAACATAACATGCTTTAATGACTGGAACATTTCTTAAGTCACTGTTTAACACCGTTTAGAACAGTTTGTATTCAGTTTTCGGTTACACTACATTAACTAACTTCGAATATCTCTATTATAGACGATTAAATTTATCTGTCGTATTTCAGTTTATTAGTTCGAGTTATAGGGTCTCATTGTATTTAACCTATTTAGATCTGGACACTCACTAAACTTCAAATAATATTTGTGTTTGTATATGCAACTCATGACTGGTCCCCGAAATCTTTCATACCTGGATTACACTAAATATGTCTAACCACGTTAGATACGCTCTCATATCAAGTGTATCTCGTTAGACATATTACTTTCAGCACAAGACAATTAACTCCAGTCAAAAGCTATCGTTGCTTTCGGAGAATTTTTTTATGCAACTAATTATAAAACCGCTTATCAAAATTTATTCTGTTCTATTAAAACTGTCTTACTTATAAACAATTGGATTGATTCTTGTCACAAAACATTATTTTTGTGAACCGATATACATTTTTTTATTAATTCTTCAATTATCAATCATTTCCTCTTTGTATATCTACTATTTATTTAGTCGGAGATGTCCAAAACTGAGGGTGTAATCCTATCCAATCTAATTAAAAGAGCGACATTAAAATCACGTTTTGCTGCAGTCGCTCTTGCTCTTACATTAGAAGAGGATTTCAGCATTCCTCGATCAATGGTTATTGAGACATTTTTAACTAAAAAGTATCACTTACCAGAAGCCGCTGTCCAAAGAATTATCGATTATTTCATTAGGTAAGTCGTTTAATTTTTAGTATATGTACATAATTTTCTCATCTACAATGTGTTTTAATTTTGTAAATTTTGTGAAATAAAATACTTTTTCACTCTTACCAGATAGTAACATAAAATGTTAATGCTTCCCTCGTAATCAGTGTACTTATCGGTATTTTGAATTTATTGAGTGGCAAAGTATATGATTATCTAAAATGTAAGCGCTCACTGTCAGACCCAGCTTACGTCATTGTTAGATATCTTTACTAGAACGGAACAGCTGCCCACTACACTTTAGTTTCTGATGTTATTCTAGCAGATAATAAGCTGTGATAAACCCGCCTGTAAATTTAAAGACCTGTTTTATAATTGATACTTACTTCGAGACCAACAGGCAGGATTCCGTAAGGATAGTTCATGTACAGACCAAGTCGCAACTCTGCGGATCATTGTGGAACAATCAATTGAATGGAATTCATCACTCTATATCAACTTCATTGACTACGAAAAAGCATTTGATAGCGTGGACAGAACAACACTGTGGAGGTTTCTTCGATACTACGGCGTGCCTCGGAAGATGGTCAATATCATACAGAATTCCTATGATGGATTAAACTGCAAAATCGTTCATGGAGGACAGTTAACAGACTCCTTCGAATTAAAGACCGGTGTCAGGCAAGGTTGCTTACTCTCACCCTTTCTCTTTCTCCTGGTGATCGACTGGATCATGAAGACGTCAACATGTGAGAAAGTACGGGATACAGTGGACATCTAGGATGCAGTTGGATGATCTGGCTCTTCTATCGCACACACAACAACAAATGCAGGAGAAGACAACCAGTGTAGCAGCAGCCTCAGCAGCAATAGGTCTCAATATACAAAGAGGAGAAAGCAAGATTCTCCGGTACAACACAGCATGCAACAATCCAATCACAATCGACGGAGAAGATTTGGAAGATGTAAAAACCTTTACATATTTGGACAGCATCATCGATGAACAGGGTGGATCTGACGCAGATGTGAAGGCGCGGATCGGCAAAGCAAGAACAGCATATTTACAACTGAAGAACATGTGGAACTCAAAACAATTGGCAACCAACACCAAAGTCAGAATTTTCAATACAAATGTTAAGACAGTCCTACTGTATGGGGCTGAAACCCGGAAAACCACGAAAGCCATTATCCAGAAGATACAGGTGTTTATTAACAGTTGTCTACACAAAATACTTGGGATCCGTTGGCCGGACACTATAAGCAACAACCTACTGTGGGAGAGAACAAATCAGATCCCAGTGGAGGAAGAAATCAGGAAGAGGCGCTGGAAGTGGATAGGAAAACACCGAACTATGTCACAAGACAAGCCCTCACATGGAATCCTCAAGGTCTAAGAAAGAGAGGAAGACCAAAGAACACATTAAACCGGGAAATGGAGACAGACATGAGAAAAATGAACAAGAACTGGATGGAACTAGAAAAGAAGGCCCAGGACAGAGTGGGTTAGAGAATAGTGGTCGGTGGCCTATGCTCCATTAGGAGTAACAGGCGTAAGTAAGTAAGTAAAGTAAGTTCGTTAGACGGCTATTACAGCCACTAGAACATTTATTAGAGAACGTATCCACAAAGCCACTTTGAATCTGGAGTCACTACGTTCAAGGGTTTGTAATATCGACGATATATTGTCAGTTATCGCACCGAAAAAAATAAGATCACATATAAATGAATTTTTCCAACACAGAGAACAATTTTATTATCAAAACAACGACAGATTAGGAAGTTTGAAAAAATGTTGAAATATACTTTGAACAACAAAGCTTAACAGACCAAAAATAAATCAAACACACAAGATTTAAATAAACTGATTGTTAATCTATCGGATAGAATTCTCAATCCACACGAGATATCATTACTTAAAAACGGTCTAAACTTCAATATAAATAGACCTAAATTATCGCCCTTCAATGTTATACCAACAATCGAGCCAGCTCTGAATGTACTCCCGAATTGAAACAGCGAATGAACTGAGGAATAAAATAATGAGCACATTTTCACATCAGAAACCTCATAATCCTAACATAAATAAAAATGAATTTTACGCATTAAAACAACTGAGAGATGACAAAACATTTATAATTACGAGAGCAGATAAGGGTAACACTACAGTTATTATGAATAAAACAGAGTGTGAGAAAAAAGCCAAGGAACATCTACAAGAAGGACCATATGAACAAATTAAAGAAACGAAAAGTAGAACAACTCTTAAAAAACTCAAGGTGGAAACCAGCAAACTCTTACAGCCATTAAAGACTAAGCTAGGATTGTCCTTATGGTTTTAGTTATATCCTAAGAGTTGTGACCCATGCAGATTTTATGGACTACCAAAGATTCACAAAAGTGATACTCCACTAAGACCAGTGATAGATTTTACGAATTCACTGACTTGCATTCTAGCCAAGTATTTAGCTAAGATACTCAAACCATATAAAAAACTGATTAATCATAGAATTAAAAACTATGAAATTCAGGAACATGATTGATACCATCGATATAGAAGAGGATGAAATAATGGCAAGTTTTGATGTATCTTCTTTATTCCCTAATTTCCTTATTAATCGAGCCTTGGATATTATCAGTGATTGTTTAGAATCTGATTTAGATTTGAATTTACGTTGCCCATTAGATTCATCAGAAGTTATCAAATGCTTAGAATTATGTTTAAGATCTACCTTATTCATATTTCGAGGTCACCTTTACAGACAGAAAGAGGGTATAGCAATGGGCTCACCAGTTTCTCCGATTGTAGCGAATTTATTCATGCATTTCCTAGAAACTAGTGCAATCGCAAGAAGTGTATATCCACCAAAGTTGTGGTTACGTTATGTAGACGATATTTTTATTATCAATAAACGGGATGGTTTGGAAGAACTATTTAACAATGTAAACAGCATGTCAGAAAACATTAAGTTGACGAAGGAACTAGAATCAGTTGACCACAAACTAGTATTTCTAGATTGTTTGGTAGAACGTCGATACAATAAGAAAAAGTTGAAAATAAATATTTACAGGAAACCAACACACTCCGAGAGATACTTGGATTTTGATTCAGCACATGCACAGTGCACGAAAATTAATGTTGTAAAAAATTTAATGAACGGAAGCACTAAGTTTGTTATAGATAAGGAAGATCAACGAACTGAATTAAATAAAGTATCCTCTACTCTTAGGGATAACAACTACCCAAAAGAGTTTTTGAAGAAGATTGTTAAAAATGAGAGCAAAACTAAACTAGAATGTATACGAAAAGTTCGGAAGTACACCGTAGTCATACCAAACCGTAGTGAAACATCAGAAGAAATCAAAAAGGATTCTAAACAAACATGATTTAAGAGTGTATTTCAGGGCGACTAACACCTTAAGATTGACATTAGTGAAAGTTAAAGACAGGTTACCAAAGGAAGAACAACAGAGTGTTGTGTATGAGATCAACTGTCATGATTGTAATGCATCCTATGTTGGAGAAACATCCAGACAATTGAATGTAAGGTTGAACGGACACAAACAATGTTTGGAAAATGTTCCCAAATCCTCGGTTGATTTGAAGAAGCTAGAGAATAAGTCTGCGATAGCGTTACATGCGTTAGAAACAGGACACAAGATCAATTTTGAAGGGGCCAAAATACTTCAGAAAGGTTTTAACACCCATAAGGAAAAATTGACAGCAGAAGCGCTGTATATATGGGCGAACAAGAACAGCCTGAACCGAAAAGATGGTATTCAACTGGCGAATTTCGTTTGACAAGTAATTTGATCGCTATCTTTATTCAACCTGTTTATTCACATGCATCGTTATTCTTGACTGAATTCAATGGAGTTTTAGCAATACAATTATGTATCTGAAGGGATTGTGTGGAGATTTTTAGAAATTTCACTGGTTGAAATCATGAATCCATTGAAGCTAGATCACCATGAAAGACCTGGGAGCACTGGACGGCCGTTTCGTCCTAGTATGGGACTCCTCAGCAGTGCGCATCCACGATCCCTCTCCTCGCGAGATTCGAACCCGTTACCAGTGGAGTTCAACCAGGTCTGTTGTGAGATATCAGCTCACTAAAGACAATGGTGTACGGTGGCGCAACTTCGTGGATTGGTTGAAGCTAGACATTAACACCGTTGGATGCCGGCCCAGTGGTCAAGTTGGTCAAGCGCCTGGCGCGAGACTGATAGGTCCTGGGTTCGAATCTCGCGAGGAGCGGGATCGTGGATGCGCACTGCTGAGGAGTCCCATACTAGAACGAAACGGCCGTCCAGTGCTCCCAGGTCTTCCATGGTGATCTAGCTTCAATGGATTCATAATTTCAACCAGTGAAATTATGTATCTGTTGGATTCTTAAATTTGGACATGTACATCGATGATTCATTAACAATTTTTCAACCTTGAACTTGCACTTTTATTTATTTACTTATCCCTCCATATATAACATTTTAACACAGAATATCAATAATTAATCTCGCACATGCATACATACGTACACACTCGCACACACACACTTGATGTTGTTACAGGTAATTATTTCCATGTAGCTGAATTTTTCACATGATTTATAGTTACTGACTCATCCTATTTTACAAAAATCAACATCCAAATTTGATTGGTTTAACAAAGTATAGTTATGATTGTTAAAAGCTATATTTTTCTTTGATGATTTTGATTATTACCCTGAAGAAGTCCAGACAAGTTAGCTGGACGAAACGTTGGAATTATTTAAATTTCAATCGCTGAGATTATTTCAAATATAATTTTCATATATAATGACTTCTCTATACTCGGCACCCAATTTCTGTCAAACTAATCGTCCTTATCTTGACGAATATTCGTATAAATACGTCCGTTAAAATTTTCGACTCGTGAGGGTTCAGAATCTTCCTAGCATAATAATGACTATAATTGCATTATTTCAGTATTATGAATTTTGTTACGGTAAAGAATTCTTAGCAACATTTCATCAAATGTCTACCAATTAATATCTTTGAGTATTTATTACATTATTTACCTTATTTGCTGATTGTTTTGTTTCCCTTCTTAGTTTGTAGTGAATCATTGGCTCAAAGGATTTTACCTTAATGTTCGACTTATGTTTTTGGTGGTGATATGAATGTTCGTTATTTTATATGTATAGTTAAAATGATGTAAAAGACTGTTCGATCACTACCCGTTACAAAAATGTGTTGTTGTAATGATCTCTAAATTGTACTTGCTTTTACATATTTTCAGTGTTATCAATAAACTGTCATATCGTTTTTATAACCTAAATTACTTTTGTGCCTTTTCCATTTTAGTTTTGATAAAGATTGCACTGTTTACTTCACCGATGAAAAGCGTATGCCGCTGACTTGGTTCAAAAGTTTATTGGTATTTTTGGAGTTTTATAGGCATTGTGTTAACCCGTCTCAACGTGAAAAGTTACTTAAATTATGTCGCCGTCATGAACATCCACAAATAACACCAGAAATTAGAAGTTTCCTGGGAACTATTTCACCTAACTAACGTAATTTTTAACATCAAATTGTTTTGTAAATAAATTTAATTTGATAAAATATTGACAGATTTTGTCCTAGTAGTCTGTTGTCCTTACCTCTCTGGCTGTCTTCACGATTCACCTTACAATACATGTTAATTTAGGTGTTTCTATAAAGATTGACTGTTTAGTGTGTTTTTCAAACTACTAAGTTTATCTTCATGCAATCTGCACTGACTTATGTTGGCCCGTTTTGATTTTTCTACTTATCTACATTGCTTCAAAGTAATGTACTTATGAACTAGAAGTCTGTTAGGTCACCATTATAGTTTATTGCTTCGAATACACGAGACAGCTCATTACAGACCTAAAATTAATTGGATGGTTGTGTTATTGTTTGACAGCAACACAGCACAGGGGCAATATTCCCGCATTAACTACTTTCTGTTTGAGCACATCTGTGTATTTTGGTCTACAAAAGCTCACAATTGACCAAAACAGTTCAAAATATAAATTGTCTACCCAAGTTAACATTACCCTTTAAATACTCCTCAAATTGTCTTAGAAGTGTGTCCGTGCTAAGATCAATAAATGCACTACTATAAAAAGTGGGTGCATGGTTTTAATCGGCTAATTATTCCCCGCTGAATGCTTCGAGCCAAGTCATATCTCACTTGACTATATCGAACGTGCACACGTGATGTACCTGTAGGTTAAACTTTTGGTTGAAATCTGTCTACTTGAGTTGCCCATGGACGACATTTCCGTAAAAGCTTCAGCAGAGTTAGTCTGTAATTAGTACCTGAAAGGTGCTAGAGGAAATCAACTCGAAAATTGAGTAAGAATATTCTTGAGTTTAACAGGCTCGTAATGTTTGCAGTTATTCAGTATAAATAGTTCGTTCCTCCATATTTATGCCCCAATACTTGGGAATTATCCCATGCCTTTCATAGTCTCTATTAAAGTTGCTCCAAATGATCAATTCCACTAGTCTTGCCTAATTTAGTAGTTGGTGATAACACTTCTGGCCAGTAATTACATCTATCAAATCGTATCCAATCCCTCTGTTAAAGGCTGTATGGTAGGCAGAAAAGTGGGTAAAGATTGTTGTAGTAGGGAGCCAAAATGAAATGCATAGATGTGTTGGATATATCTGATTCTCCCTGGTAGATATTCATGTTCTCTTTCTGAAGAAGATTAAGGTGACGCTTTATGTGGCTACGTGGAAACAGTGACTTACGAATAAGTAGGTGGTCGTTCCTTTTCTGGAATATAAGGAGACAGGGAGTGATATATATGGGGGTTCAAATCTTAACTGTTGTTTTTCATGTTTTTGCAGTAAAACTGGGTAGTTTGGAGGTTCTTTTGTGTCCTCTTTAAGTTAAACGACTCTCTACAGTCTGATCACAAAAGCAGTGGGAGGTTTATATCTCTGAAGGTTCAACATCGTATGACCTTAGAACTGATATTAACACGTTCTTTCAATAGATGGACCTATGGGCGTCACGCTATTATCGATCCAGAGTGCTTATGTCGTTTGGATAGCAATTGAAACCCTTTATGAATAGAAAGATTGCCCAGCTGTAGTAACATTACGGAGAGCTCTTGTGGTTTCCCGACCTGGTAGTCGTATTGCCTTGCTATCTTAGCAACTTCGGTGATCAATAAAGGTTGACGGCACAGTGTTTACCTATGAAAAAATAAAACTGTAGCGACAAGGCTGCTGAACTCATCAATTCGACTAATCTATCTGTGTTGGTTATCCTTGATATTGATTAGACTGAATTAGCATTTAGTGCTAATAGATTGTTATTTAGTTCTAGCCGAATCAGAGAGATCAATGAATTTTGAATGGTTTTTCGAGCCCATCAAGGTCAACCAATCAACTGCATGTCATGGATCGGTTCATTTGGCATCGGTCCAATATGTGCATCCCCAATATTTTCCTTTGATACATCGTTTTCGCAAGACTACTTTTTATGTGCAGTCATAATTGTAGTCTCATTATGTGGATACTAGGACAGTATAATCCAGGTTATGTTTGTCAACCATAAGGTGTAACTGTGAGATAAGCGAGGATGAACCATTTTCATTCTAACCCAGTAAAAACTAACCATCCATGATAGCCACCTAAACTGGTGATCTGCACTGGTTACATATGAACTACTTGTCACAGAGTGGTAACTCGTCTAACGTGAATAAAGTTACATTTGTTTCTACAGATTATTTGGCTAGGGTTCGGTTTTACTTAACTAAGTCAACATACTTAAGAAAAGACTCATGGAATGCCGATCATTATCTTAAAAGCTTTATCAAAAAATAGGACAAATATTCAGAGTATTTGGATGTGTATGTTTTCGGTTAATTCATCGAATTTGTTCGAATATAATAAGTTTGTATAAACCGATTTATTTCTTTGCGCTTGCTCGTTTTTCCTGTACGATCCCATGTATTCAGTTATGTTCAGTGAGTCTGATAATGACCATCCACTCAATTTGAAATAAAATGTTTTGCCTGGTAGCTTAAACAATTTCACGTCGAAGCCATGCCATAAAATAATTGTTTTGCATGTTCTAATTTTACTTGATTGACAGGCTGACCTGCTTCTGTAACGAATTATATTGGGAAAAGAGAGAACGAACTTATCGATTTACTAACTTATCAGCTTACTGATGTTTTCGATATACCGGTTTACTGACTTGTAGTTTATTCATCCTTTGTTGATCTGATCGTTACGTTAGCGATTCGACTTTTTTTTGAGTAGGTTATTTTGGGCGTCCGAGCCTTCTTTATTGCTGAGATGGTGCCACTGGCTGTAGAAAAAAACCAGAACTACGGGCAATTTTCATATTGTGCAATTGCTTGCTACCAGTTTTTGCATCAACAGTTGTGTACCTAGTCCTTTATTTCCGTCCAAAACTTTAAGTGTTCCGTAATCTTCTGTGCATCTTTCATAGCTCATACGTTATCTGTCAACAAAACTCCCTTAAATTGAAGTACGACGGTTAGATTACTAGGTGTTAATATGGGAACATAAAAGTGCCTATAAAGTGTGCCCATTTTTACAGATATTTGAATTTTTATATGATCACTCGCCTTACATTTATGTTTATGCCTATCACTGTCGAGAAGAAACAGGAGAAGCAACAATTAGGAGTAGAAACGTTATTTGTTATCAACCATCACGTGGAGATACTCTATTCTGAAGAGGTATTCTGTCTCAATCCACAATAGACTGTTGAAAGCCCAAATCCTTGACGTATCCATTACACATATTAGAGTCTTTAACTGTCGCCTAGGAACAGAGATTATCAACAGTCGCGCAGATATTATGGGAAGTACACTGATACTGAAACCAAAATCTTACTAATGGGTATCCAATAAAAAGACTTATATGATCTTGTAAACCTAAGAGCATTGAACACCGAGATAGGTGAACCTAACACAAAGCAAAATACGTGAGGCACATAGGTTCATCAGTCAGTGACGTGGTCGACATTATGCTAACCGCAAGTAGGGTTAACCTTCCATCATATGACACTCATACCGGTTGATCTACAAAGACAATCTCAGACATTCATAATCAAATGGGTTTACAAACTATAGGTGCCCGTAGACCTAAGACGAAAGATAATATGGATCGAATTGCCCACGATTGATTATGTCAAGCTGCGACACATGGAAACTACCCTACAGTCAATGATGGCAAACGACGGAATTGTTACATAAAGAACTGAAATAATTTGACTGAATATTAACTGTTATACTGAACACTATTGGTTTCACTATGTTCTTGATTCGTTTGTTTTACTCAAACTATGGGCTTGTTCGTTTACAACCTTGACCTCAGATATATATAGTTACATTCTGCTTTGGTTTGTTACTTTGGATGTTTTGTCACAAAAACCTAAGACTTAAGGGTTTTTTGTGCATCTGTTATAATAATTATTAAAGTAATACATCTGGGTGAAATCCTTGTAATATATGAATAAACTTTGATACCTGCACTGGAATTTAGTCATCTTGATATTCGGGTCATAAATCAATCGACCGTGCTTAAGCAACTGGCTAGAGTGAAATTTAGACGCAACAGAAGTGTCTGACGATGCAAACGAAATCAAAATTGATAGGGCCAAGAATGCACTTCGTAAAATCAACCCGATGTTGAGCCCCACAACAATCTGCATCCGGACAAAAAATTAAATGACGTATTCTTCAATAATTCCCATCCTAACGTAGTGACTAGAGTTCATTGTCGTAAAAAAATCACTTGACCCTATCAAAATCAACTTTTCAATATTTGACGAATGATGCTAGGTATTAAAGAATCAAAACAACTAGAAAAAACCCAGCCACACAAATATTTAAATTTACCTAACCAGGCAAAATAGGTAAAACTCATGTAGTCTAATACACGGAAGACCGGAAGCCTTAATGATAAGGTCTTCAAAAAGCCGAATAAATAACACGAACAACATTAGAGTAGATCGAACCAAACCTAGTTAAGACAATTAAGAAATGATATAGACAAACTTAGAAGAAAGTAACTAGCAGAGTGTCCACTAAAAACACGATGTAACAGGACTTACATACCTGGATGATATCAGCACTAAAATAATAGGAATATGACCCATTACAAATGAATACACTTACAATAATTTCAATAGAATGTTGTGGGCCATTGAAAAAGTGAATAAACATTTTAGAAACGATAGAAACCTAAAAGACAAGTTCTGAACTTTCAAAGAAGTCACAAATATATCTTCGCGGAATTTACAGAAGGTTACGATGGCCCAAAAGATATACAAACTCATCTCATTCTCATATAACATACGTTTCGTCCAACACCTAACCACAGACATTAGACACAAACACATGTCAAACAATCAAAAGGACTCAGGCACAATCAGTGCCAACAACGACCTCCACAGGTGTCCATATGTTGACTGTCAGAAGAACAGTGAATCACTGTCATGTGGTAAATAGATAGTAAATCATAACATTACAGGAAATAAGACAAAACACGCTAAACCGAACTCCTGTCTGTGAGAGCCAACTGGCCTCGATGGAAAAGAGGCCAGAAGGAATTGTTTTTGGTGTGAAGTGATTAACACGATGGCCAATCTATCAACTGAGCCAGTTCCGCTGCGTAGACCAATAAATCCGCGTAAGCTACCCCTAATTTTCGTGAAATTTGGATCAATCCTGTTGTGACAGTCAGCGATTGTTGCTAAGGTATGTTGGAAAACATATGTTGGATGGGGATTGTAACATATTTAAAGTAAACAAGCATGAGGTTACATAGGGCTGTAGAGTTACGCCGATCCTCGTTATTGGTACTGCTCTAGTAGTGGACCTGATACTAAAATCTTAGATCTGTCATGATGTAACCTCCTGATCTATACGATCTTACGTGAAGCCCAATCATTATTTACACTGACTCATGGTATTATAACAGTTATCAATATGACGTCTAGAGTTTGTTAAGAACGCTGTTAGGCTATAGATAGAATAACATATTTAATTAGAGTATAGTCAAGTTGTACAAAATGAACACGTCTGCGAGGTTAAGTCATGCCATCCAATCGAATTCATCCATGCTTACCGTCTTCCACATTGTTGACCTTCTCTGTGTGTCATTTGCTGAATTTAAATCTTTTCGGTAATTATACTTTCGACTTCAAAGGTCATGTGGTTATGGCAAATGTCACTACAGGGCGATCGCACGTGGATGACAAATTCATGTCGTCTTCAATAAACCATTCCGCATTCGCTATCCCGGACCAGTTATGGGCGTTCCGTATTCACCTTATGCCTTTTCAGTTATTTTACGTTAGACGTCAAGGATCGTGTGTTAGAGAACTAATGCTGCTACAAATTTTACACTGGAGTCTGAATATGCTGAGCTTGACAGGTAATTTTACTGAAGTTTTGTGATATCCCTAAATCCTTCGTATCTAAAATGCCATGGATATTCACGGGTTCATAGTGCTTTCGTCCGTAACAGATTTCAAAACAAAAATTATGAACCCGGTGGAATCAGAGGTCAAGAATGAAGGAGTCTCAAGGTATACTATGAAAGTTATCGGTGTGTTGATATGCATTCAATTGAAGCTGGTTAGTTGTTATGAGTGATAAGTGGTGCGGTGTACGCAATAATGAACTGGTGCGGACGCATAACCTGGCTACTTCAGCATGGCGGTATCCAGCAAAATCAGTGAGCGCAGTATAAATGCATTAGACTAACGAAATTATTAATTAAGGGGATTTATTCACCTCTACATACCTAGCAGTTTACTTTCATCTCTTTTTAATACGCCACTTAAATCGTATTTTTTAAAAATTTAGTTTATTAGAGTATCTACCGTTTAGTAAGGAATTTATTAATTAAACCATTCCTTTCATACTTTTGAGGTTGCCTTTATAACACTTTCGAATTTATTTCGAAATACATCTCCCATTTTTGCTTCGTAACGATTAATAGCTTCACTTATAGTTCACCTTTCGTCAGATAGTATGAAGACAACCTTTGCATTATCTGATAAATGTCCTTGACATAACACGTTATTGATTGTCTCTCTTTTCCGAACGAAAAACATACGATGAGGTGTGAGAAATTTTAGAAGCCTTATGGGGGATAGCGTAACGTCATGTGCTATGTTGAACCCACATGGTCTGTTCAAGCTTCCGGATAAACCTATGTATTAATTCCTCTTGTGTCACATTTCAACATTGTTAACAATTCGCTTGTCAAACTCGAATGCTTTTATGTAAGAATATGTGTGTGCATCTATTATCTTACTCATTACATGTCTATAGCTTATTTTTGCTTGACTTTACATATCTATTCACGCTTTGTTAAATTGGGCTGGTCCGATTGCCTTCTTCATTGCCCATCATCTGTTTTGCCCTGCTTTCCGACCAAGCATTGTACAAATTATACGTATTCACAAATTCATCCTCGCATTTGACATATTTAATTCCGTTGTTCACCAACGCGACTTAAGTCAATGTTTATACACAATGATTGGCGATATATGTATTTCGGTAGCAATCATTCGATAATGATCATTCGTGCGATTCAATTAAAGTCAGATATAGTGCCACTAATGCCTAGAACTGACTGCTTGTTCGCCATATTTCTTCACTTGGAATTGTCATTGTGTGAACTGTTTGTACAAAACATCTTAGTCCGGATAAATTCAAGCAGTCATTCATTCAAATGACTGACCTCCCGCGTCTAAGACAAAAAGCGGCCTAGATTTCCAGTCTCTGTTCTGAAACTAACTTCAACTTTAAATATTGAACCACTAATGACTGTTAAGCGCAACAATTACATCTTGCCTCCATAATGATGATTTTTAGCCATACAATCAATCAACCGTCCGTTATTTATCAAATCAATTAGTAACATTACAAAATATAGGTTGACATACTCACCTGAACTATAACAAAGACCTTTTACCTTTGTTGAATATTATGATGCGTGCTTAAAACGATCAATCAATGTCTTACTTAAAGACCATAAAGATGTTGAAGACGAGTAGGATAGGAAAACTGAATACTCATTCTCAATACCCCTCGTTTGGGTGGGATTTTCAAGGTTGACACACGTTTCAATGGTCGTTTTTGGCGGGCTTGTTTTAGCAATCGGCATTCTTTTGTCTGGGGTATTTATTGTCTGGAAATTATATAATAAGTCAGCTAAAAAAGGTAATATTTCACCCGGATAAAATTTCGGCGAGCAGCATTATAAACGGTATTCTAGTTTGAGAAGACGTACGGTGTTATTTGATAACTAATATATATATATATATATATATATATATAGTCATCAAATAACACCGTACGTTTAAATATGATATTTATAGATATTATATTCTGTGATAGTAGTGGCATTGTTTAATACACTTTTAATAAAGTTATCTTTTATATGAAGTTGATTAACGTGAACTGACGTTTTAACACCGTTTCTCCATGTCCTGCAGATTTGAAGGGGCTAGTGCTATGTGAATTCATCATGAGAAACAATATTACACTTAAAAGGTCTAGGTAATGTCAGGGAATCTGAAAAAGTTCGACCGCTAGTTTGCAAAAGTGTGTCCTGTGTTCTTTTGCAAGAAGTGGGCATAACCGCTTGTTAAAATTAGAATTTGCATTATATTTATGCAGGTTGTATTTCGGTATGATATTCTCAAACGAAACAGGGGACATAATGGAGGAACTTGTTTAAAGATGTTGGTATAAATGTAAGCGACAAAGCACTTAATTGTCAGTTTGGAAAGAACAGGTGGCTTGATGGCCTGTTTTAGTCCTGGAAATGGTGTTCTCTCAGTTGATCCAACTTTCTTTTGAAAGAATCTACAGATGGAGCTTCAACCACGTGCTGAGGTAATGAATTCCACTCGTTGATGATTCGGTGGGAAAGTCGATAATCAGCTGACAAGTAATTTGTTCTGGGCTTGTGAACTTCTTTGGAGTGTCCTCGTAAATTCTCTGTTTTGGAAAACAAGAAAAATGAGGGTATAGCACGAGGCCTCGCCGAGACCCGAACTCGGGTCGCTGGATTCAGAGTCCAGAGTGCTAACCGCTACACCACGAGGCCCTTCTCTATAGAATTTTCTTACATATTTGTCACGAATTAAGGTAAAACCGACTGTGATATTACAAAGGGCTAATGCCTGTGTCTGAAAAACGGAGGCAAAGCTAGTTTGTTACATTATATTTCCCATTACAACGCTACTCACTAATTGTCATGTTGGAATGTAACCATGAGGTATCATAAACTTTGGCATGATCTTTTTCACATATATTGGACGATAATCATTTAGCTGTTAATACACCTTGTGAATGACAAACACAAAAGTGTAGTCTTACTTATACTATTGTGGGATCTAAGCTTAAGGATATTCCACTTTGCGGCAGTCCCCATCAACGATAACTTGGTGGCTAAGTGCGGTTTTGTTATGTCGAATGACATTAATTTGTTGGACGTTTTCAACTGCTGGTCTATCAGCTTAGCTGTCACCGCCATCTAAAATGCGAACTTACTCACTTTACTAATGCCTCCAATTCCTCTTCAATTGATACCGGAAACTGTAAGCTAGATAGCCTTTCTCCGATTTTATTTTTGACTGATGATCAAACATAGTGATAACATCTGCTTTATTCTCTGACACTTCAGTAACATTGGCAGACAGTTTAGCTATGTTTACATTTATTTCTGGTAGTCTATAAGATTGAAAACTATTTTAAACTAAACTTATCCCAATTTACACTGTTACCACGAGTCGAAGTACCTGGTGATGGCAATAACTCTAATTGCTTGAACTATTCTGTGCAAATTTGTAGGGATAACAGGTTTATTTAGCAGTTAGGGAACTCGGAGTTTTTAGCAGCTTAATTCTCGGATATTTCACCTGGCTGTACCCAGCCTGCATTTCTGCGACATCTAAGTCGACAGAATCATATGAGTAATCTGACTTTCGCTTCTTAGAATAACATATCATTTGAGTTTATCTGTGTGCAATAGCAAGGCGTTTTTATCGAGTTACCACAACTTTCAACCTAAGTGACAAACAACAGGGAATGTCTATCAGGTTGATTCAAATAAGTCTGCTAGTAGTGCTTGAAATGTAGTAGCATCCGGTAGCCACACTATCTCATGGCTTATGGACAATGTTAGGCAAATAAAAATCAATTAGTAACTTGTTCAATTCGGAATTAGTGAATTCAAAATCAGTTCCATTAAATTATTCAGCCATAAAGGAGCAGGAAAATGTCCTAGTCATGGAAATTGTGAAGGATGGAGGCATTACAACCGAGAACGTTGGTTCCACCTTGAATTCATTACGAAAGTACTTTCCGCACTTGCCCAACAGTTTCAGAAGTGTGTTAAGAACGTGTAAAATGTTCAGCCAATGTTCATTAGCAGTGGTGTTTGCTATCACATCAAATTACAAACAAATCTACCAAGATGTGTCTAACTATATCCTCAAAGCCCAGTCTTTTTTCTGTCACTACTAATACTGTTGCCAACTCTTTTACTTTAGGATTTTTCTTGGTGATGTCATCTTACCGTACTAGTAGGTTGTCGCAGCTTTAATTAATGTACACATGTGACAGGTTCTACTTTGCGTATAAACAATTAATGTTGTTTTCTACTTTCGTCCAACTTCGTTTATCCACATTTCAAAAGCTGTGGAATTTAGAGTTTTGGAAAATCGTTTCTCATGTTCTCTGAAACAATTGTTTTTGTTAAAAATATTCTCTCCTTTAAGGTGGACAGCGCCCCCACGTACATCCAGCTGCTACTGGCAGACTGCGTCGTCGCATTGGAAATGTAGGTGGACAGCGCCGTTTGGCTGCTCGGATGAGAGATGCTTCAGAATCTGAGGAGGACGATAGGCGTGTTAGAAATGTCATGGAAAATGTAGACATCCAGCCTTCAGATATAGATCATCCAAAAGAAAGTTCAAAGAAAATTGGCTCCAAAAAAGCCGCCAAGTTAGCTGAAAAGGAACGTCGAAAGGAAGAGCGAGAAGCTGAGGAGCGTTACAGAGAGCACCAAAGGAAAATCGAAGATATGGAAATTGAAAAACGTAAGAAAACAGAAGAAGCGGAAGAAAAAGCTGCAGCAGCGGCAGTAAGTTGTTTTCTATGGTCGCACATTAACCTTCGTGTCTACTATTTAGCTTAATTCAAATATTTATTCAAGATGCAAAATTTAGCTCTTGTTATCATATTGTTTACTTGATGTAACTTCTGAATATTTTATAAAAAGACTATACTATTTTCACAAAGTATGCTTGAAAAAATTTGTAAGGGTTCAAGCAGTTTTGTCAAGGATCAGTGTTTATGTTTATTAAACTGATATCCCGTAATGTGGTCCTCAAATGTTTTGGTACCTCTAAGGTTAGTGAGAGTCTGCATCTTGTCGAGGGCATTAAGAAAGTGACAAGATGGAAAGCTAGCGTTCAGTCCTTCGGTCTAGTTGGTAGATACAGTGAATACACCTATGAGTAACTAAGGAACCGCATTAGCCGTATATCGGTTTTGTTATGCTAAGGGAACAAAATGGGTAAGAACCAAATTTCAGTCTCTGGTCACCATACGACCACATTTAGCATCCTATCTCTAAACCTTTAAGTTAAAGGCTTGGGGAGCAATCCTCTTAAAAAAATTCGCTCTCAATTTAAGTGCCTAAACAGTATCTCAGCATGCAAACAAATTTTATTTTGTGTGAAGCACGCTATTTTTGATCCACAGTTGTACCATATTTTTGAATAGAAGTAGAACTTTCGTCATGCTTAATATATCCTGTTATGGTTTCGTCTAATTCGGTGGTCAGTATGAACACGTGGCCCTTTTATTACACTGCTAGTAAATATCGGTATGAATTTTTGTTTATCATATATAGACACGGTTAATGTACACCTTGTAATGACAATGTCAGTGTCTTATGCCATTTTGATCAGCATGGTTCGTTACCCCCCAACAAGTCTTTATACCATTTATTAACTTCTAAAATCCATGCTAGTGGATTATAAATAATTTTTTATCGATGTTTGTACTGGACAGTCACAAATGAGGTTGATGATATTTTAGGGATTCTAGTTATTATTTTCATATAAGTCCCTAGTAATTTTGGTTACATTAATTAAAAACGATGTAGTTTTAGTAATCGTTCCCGCCAGTCATCGCCTAATATTTTGTAAATGATTCCAATATCTTTTTAGTGATTTAATAAAAGGCAAATAAATTGAATCAGTATTTCTTTTCAATCAGTTTATTACTCTTAATTGACATCGATACACTTCTTGTGGTGATGATGTAATACTAATGAAATGGTAATAATACTTAATAATATTACGACTTCACAGTTGACTAATAAATTAATTGGATAAAGAATACTAGAATTTCCCTATCTTCCTTTTACTTATTTAGTCATTTAATATTATTTTCACAATCACTTATGACGTTGTAACATCATTATAAAGCAACACTCCTTGATTGACATTATAGTAATGTGGAAAATGCATATTCGCATTGTGTAATTACTAAAAACTAATTGAAATGATATGTTTCTCTGGTGTATTCGTTTTTTTGTGAATTTTTTCATCATACGTTGCTGAAACGAACGAACGATACGCTAGACAATAAAATAACCACATAAGTATTATAAAAGGAAATTTCAGTAGTTACGACAAAAATCTTCATGATGGTTCTCTATTTTGTAGTTCTTATTTGTAAAATGGTCATTTTGACTTTGTTGAAAGATTTCATTGTCGAAAACAGCTAAATACAGAAACGTTCGAAGGTTGTTCTGAATTTAAAATGCTACTTCAGCTTCATTGAGTGTTATACCAAACCTCAGTGACAATTATATTGGAAGGAAATTAAAAAGACAAGGTAGATCTCTGATTCGAACCTATAATTTTCATAATAAATAAGAATTATGTACTCGACTCTGTGAATAAACAGACAAATTAAGGAAGCATAGACAATCTAGTTGATCATTAACCACTTTAGTATAACCTATGACCTTAAAGCTGAAGGTTAATTGTGCTAAAAATTTAGTTAGAAATAAATTTATGTTGGCCAACTGTATTATGTTTTCTTAACCCATGTACACGAATTTTTTTGATTGCTCAATAACAGTCAAGTATGCATTTGTAGAATATAATTTTTAATTATCATTTATAATTTTAAGCTATTGTTTAATTTTTACCACATTTTATAATACTATTTAACATTCCTAGATAAAATTTACTTTTAATTACAGGCTGCTGCTGAAGCTAAACGTCGTGAAGAAGAAGCAGCTCGTGAACAAGCTGAATACGAGCGCTTAAAACAAGAGTTTATTATTGAGGAAGAAGGAGTGGATGTACAACAACAAGATGACAAAGCAAAAGCAATGATTAATGCACAAATTATTGCAGCTATTGAAGAAGCAAAAATTATTCCAGTCGAACATTTGGCAATCAATTTAAATTTGAAGACGGAGGTATATTTTTCTCGTTATGGAATATTGTTGAAATCGACTTTATTTTTTTGAGAATCGCCCGCTTAGTGGTTGAAACAGTTAGATTTTACTCGTTAAGTCTTAGGTTTGAACCCTGTATCATGTACCTCAGTTAGGCAAACTGTGTAACATCGTTGAGCTTTACGCTAAAAGTGTGGTTTAAAGTCAAATACACGGATATCTACTCAATGAATTACATTATTAAGAATCAGAAAATCTTCTTAGTAAAGGACTTGAAATCAGTCATCCCTGTTCGACTCAATTCTAAAAATCATCATCAACTTTCCTTTTTTATTCTCTTTCGCAATAAATATGTTGAACATATCCGCTAAAATTTATTATTTTATTTGAGCCCATAAATATTGGTACAGGGGGGCACCAGATATGTATGCACCACACCAAGAATAGTATTTTCAGTAAATATCGTCATTTCATTATATCTATGTTTGGGCTATGATACTGCCCAGGTGCCCAAACCACCGAAGTAGTGGAGCATCGTAAGGAGATGCTGTCCCATGGTAGCCGGTGGCCAACGATTGGTTCATACGCCATTTGTTCCCTCAATATACTGGAGCCAATGTGCACCATTGGTTTGGAATCAGGGTTTTCCGACTCCCCTAGGTGGACTCTCCATGTCCACCAACCCAGTTAAAGCGCCGGATATTAATTTTCCGTCCTCTCAATTTCGTAAACAACACCCCCTCCACGAGAAGGCAATGAGTAGGACTTCCCTGGCAGAGGCTATATGCGCGTGGCCATGTGAGAGCATTTCGAGAGGGAGGGCGGGTCCTCCCCACCCTCGACCGTACCAGGGCATTCGGGGGCCCACTAAAGTCGGATTTCGGCTAGCAGAATAGTCCAATCTTACCAAAACAATGTTGTGGCAATCGGCTAATGAAGAATATGTGCCAATAAAGCCTGATCTATTATAGTCCTAAATATACAAGATGCGGAAATATAAACCCTTAAAATAATGTCTTTAGTTTAGATGCGAATAAAACAAAGATTTTATTCAGTTAAACTATGCCTTTTATTGTTTAAAAAATATGGTGTAAAGTTAAAGTAGGATCACCACAGATCTTTATTCTGGGAAATGTTTGATTATATCTAGACTTCCAGGCTGAATAATCTTTAAGACCAGTAAAGGGTAATCTAGTTCGTTTATGTTTAATTTTACAAACCAATCACCTATTTTCTAAAACTTTTCCTCAGCATGAGAAAACAATGCGGGGTTTACGAGACGCTAGAACGACACAGTAAACAGAACAAAGCCACCGTTATTTACGTTTGAAGCTAGTAATACTTGCTGATTAATGAATACTGATCTACAACACACGTTAAGGGAAGTCGGAATCACTTGGTATTGAATGGAAGCTATCGTTTCGAGATAGTGATGATCAAATATAAAAAGTTGTCGGACATCAGCTCAGTGAAGTTATCTTTCATTAGGATTCTCAACCCAATCTTTCGTAGCCTCACTAACGGTGAGAGGTTTCCAGATTAGAATAAGCTTCTCTGGCTTTCATTGTATGTAAATCAGTCTCTTTTAGCTCACTGTCACCAACTACTTTGATGTATGAAGTCATCAAATGTTCCCAACAGCTCAACACAAAGAGAAAGTTCTTGCATACTTTTTTGCCACCTTTGTATAAGTAGAAGCACAATTCACATGTTAAACACTTTGTTTTCTCAAAACCTTGTTATTCTTAATTTTATTCTCAGTTTCGTCTTTCTGTTCTTTTAACAGTTGTCTTGTCATTTTACACTTTTTATGTTTTGTCCTACTGTTTTAATATTATGTATGACAATCAATACTTGTCTTTGCTGGGTGTTACGTAACTATTGTCTGTTATAAACTATGGGGTTTGAACTCCATCATTTTCTATTACAGAATGTTATATAACAAAATTCAGTTTTCATGAGCTGACTACCTGTGTTTTCAGGTATATGCTCGATGCAGACAAATAATCATGCGCAGAGCTTGTCTTATTTCATCCATTAAGGCTTAGAATACTAGGTTGTGTACTGTTGCCTAAAATTCCACTTGTTGATTGATATAATAGTGAAATGGTTTTCATATGGTCACGGTAGTTTGTCTAACCTTCACTATGTATCATTACATGTTGTTCGAATATGTATTTAACCCTCGAATTATTATATTTTATTACCTTTGTTGTTTTTTGAAGGTTGGGCTATTGTAAGTGGATATTTATAATTTTTAAAGTGCTCCTGATAATTTGTTAGCTAAATGATTATAGTTTTATTTTAATAAATTAAGCTCGCTAGTCATACATAATGAAGCCGATAGCAGTTTTACGTGACTGTATAAATCCCAGTCACTGCAAGTGTCATTAACATACAGCTAAATAATCATGAACCTTTTTGGAATTCTGCATTAGTTTTTTTATCATTCCGTAATTTTATTTTTCTTATAAAGGTTTGTATAGAAAAGGTCAAAGCACTTATGTCTTCTGGTCGGTTAACTGGGGTATTGGATGATCGAGGCAAAGTTATTCATATTACAAATGATGAATATGAAGCCGTTGCTCAGTATATTGAGAAATGTGGTCGTGTCACTTTATCAGAATTAGTTGAGAATGGGCATAAGTTAATTAGAACTGGGCCAAATACTTCAAGAGGATAACTATATTCTAATAAATAATGTAAACTTGTTTATTTTTGTCTTTTTTTGACTCTATCTATTTTGGTTACTATTGTTCATGTACAGTTGTTTCCTTACCAATTTTACAATAAGATATATTACTTAGTACTATTGTTAATAGTACTAGTGGTAATCATACATGATAACGGTTTTCAATGTTATTGTTTGTTTTGCAAAAAAGACCTTTTCAACTTCGAAATTATTATAAAGTTGAATATGTTATTTTGAGGTTATATTTTGTTCACTTTATTTGATGAATGCTTAATTTACAAACAATGTAATTATTCCAATGCACATATATGTACCTTGAGTATGACCGATGACTTGTGTATTGTTTTTGCTTTCAAGGTGGTCAAGTAAAGTGCTGTAAAAAATAAGCGAAGCTACAGTAGATTTCACTCATCAAATCATGCGCTTTTTCCTCATTTTCATACGACATTCTACTGAGTGACAGCAACCACAACAAATGATAATATATGACCTTTGATTGCAAAGAGAACTTTATTTAATGATAAAACGGTGTCTTTCATCTTTTTATTCCCCATAAAATGTGGGACGATGATTTAAGGAATAAACCACTCTACTCTCAAGCAATAGGTTGTATGTTTGAAACCTAACCTTGCTTACTTTGGTTTTGTCAACTGGATAGTATCACTACCCTTCATATACAAACAGTATGGATCAAAGTCGATAAATAAATCGCTTTAATAATCTATATTTTTACAATTTAGCCATCACATTACAGAATGTAAATAAAGTTCTTAACGAAATGCGTAGTGATAGTTTGTAAAAAAGAATTGAACAAGCCAATTTTGGAATCACAAGAGTTAGCGCTAACATAATATTTCGCTGATTACAATTGTTTCGTGACCTATGTTTCTAAACTTCAGGAAACAAATAATATTTTAGAATCTTCATTGTCCATTTATCTATGAATACTTGGTAACTAAACATCTGAACTAGCTCTAATCACATTAAATATCAGAGATAGGAATAAGTATGTATATATAACTCAGTCCATACACTAAATATCCAATCACTATTATATGACTTCGTTGCTTGTCAGGTGACAAAAGAATTATTGAGATAAAAAATTAAATTGTAATTCTTTTTTCCGACCTGTAGTAACACAAACAGAGTTTACTCATTTTTTAGTGAAAATAAATATACTAACAATGTCAGTATAATTATTGAAACCATGTGCAGTAAAAATCTACCAATTATACTGAGTACATATGTATATAGAAAATAATTCAATGTTTGGGATTAACATTCCATCATAATGTAGACACATAACTGACTGGAGATCTAAATGATCAGAAATAAAGTTGAAGGGGGAATGTAAAGCAATTCTAATATTACATTTTCTTAAAAATCATCACATGATATATTCAGAAAAAAGAGGTAAGTACATACATAGTATGATCCAATCGTTAGTGAGGAATGAATAAGTAATCAAAAATGGGTAGTTTGTCAATACTTGGTTTTGATTAATAGTGGTAGGGTTAGAGATTATCGTAGGTCTAAGTATCAGGGAAAAGTGAAGTGGACCAAACACTTCTATAACACCATCTATGCAATTATATAGTAATTTAGATAGTATATATTGTCCAACGTAGGTATTATTGGCATGTATATTTGAGATAGTAAGCACGCGATTGAAATTGGAATCTGAAATGGAAAACAAACAGTGAGTAGGTAGTTTTACGGTTGGCAAAACTAGATGGTAATTATAATGAACTGTCGTAAGTTGGAAGATTGCTGAAAACCGAGGAGTAATCGGCCACTAATTTTACTCTATACGCCTTCGATATCGACGACTGTACATAACGTGGGTGCTAGGGTTTGAGGTATAGGGATGTGTGTGGTGTTATTTCTCACTTTAATGGCTGTCAGATTTCGACTGATTGAATCACATTTGTGACATGTAGTGCTGGATTCAATTCTGTATAGTATCGAGTTTGCTCATCATTGTGGAATCTCTAAATAAGATGAGACACTAGGTTAGTGATTTCTAGCTCTTGGTGGTTCTTTAACTTGTATTACTAACATCAGTTCGTCATGGAAAGAACTTAGAAATACAAGCTTACAAAATTACTCAACTTCATAAATATATGATATTTAAAATAAAGAGTATTTGCTATGTAATAATCATTTGAAGATAGAAAATATTTAGTTAACAAATTAAGGATCTAATTCTGACGGTATATATTCATTATCAATATTATTCACTTGATCATAGGTTAATGTAGTATTACAATCAATAGGATAATTAAATGAATACAATTAAACTTTTGTCAAACAGCTAGAAAACGCCCACAGGGTGGACTGATTTCGTATTTGTGAGATTAGTTTAAAATGTCTAATTCTTTCAACGGTAAATAAGATTTATCAATGATGAAGATTTTACGCTTAAACCACATACATAAGACAATTAAATATTACAAAATATAGCAATTTATTCAATTGTGACTATTTTGCTTAATTTCCTACACGATTTGAGAAAACTAGTGTGTTGCTAAGCTATATACATATAACAACAAACTACTAGGAAGCTTTAATTATCATAAAAGAATATAAATAATAAACAATTAAAGTGGGATAAAAAGTTTTTATTACTTTTAACGATTGCAAATTGTTTCAAGTGAAAATTTATTATCATTATGCGGATTTATGGAAATTGTAGTATATTCTTAGTGGAGTTCATGAGTCGATTAAAGTTAGACCACCATTGAAAACCTGGAAGCACTGAACGGCCGTTTCGTCTCAATATGAGACTTCTCAGCAATTTGCATCTACGATCCCACACATGGGATTTGAACCCAGGAACTTCGGTCTCACGTACGAGTGCTTAACCTGTAAACCGCTGTGTCGGCATCCAACGGTGTTAATATTCAACTTCAACTAGTCCACGACATCACACCACCGTCCACCATTGTCTTCAGTGAGTTATTGCCTCATGACAGACACAGTTGAACTCTACTGATCACGGCTTATCATTAGAATCCCAGGAAATGCCTCTTGACGTCAGTCATTAGTGAGCACAATTTCGTGGATTAGTTGAAGTTGGACATTAACACCGTTGGACGTCGAATCACCGGTTTACAGATTAAGCATTCGCATGTGAGACGGAAGTTCCTGGGTTCAAATCCCATGTGTGGGATCGTAGATGCACATTGCTGAGAAGTCTCATACTGAGACGAAACGGCCGTTCAGTGCTTCCAAGTTTTCAATGGTGGTCTAGCTTTAATCGACTAATGAAGTCAATTATGAGACATTTGTTTTGTTAAATGATTTATGAAGACTTGTTTAATTTGAAGATGATTTCATTATCTAATCACTTCAACATAAAAAATAGTTAAAATAAGGATGGAATAGGATCTGTAAGTTATTAGTCTGATCCTGTTTAGAGTCAATGTGGATGGGCGTTACAGTGTAGATCTCCACACCAACACAAAACAGCTAGGTTGTGTTTCATGATATTTCATGATATTGTTTCATGATATTGTAGCTGATAACTATCTATATAGAAATTATTTTCATATTTTTTTAGTTAATATATTTTCAAACAAAATATTATTGATTTATCAGAAAAATGGTTGCTATGTAGTTTGTATTATAACACAACTAATTGTTGGATAATTATGTGAATAACAATATAAATCATTAACATTATTATTATAATGTCCTATATGATAATTACACAATAATTCGTTCATTGAACTATTAGATAAGTTCATAAAGATGATTTTATTTTCTGATTACCTCATTCAAGTTTATAAATTTCAATAGTGTTTAATTCATGTTATATGTTGAGTATGTTAGTAATCATTTTAAATTTGATTAGACATATGAACGTATAACTAAGGTATGTATCATTAAGGTTCAATATTTAAAACACAATTAATATGAACGAAGAATATTCCATTCAACGGATTTCTCATCAGCTTCTACAATTATCTCATATCCATATTAACAATCCATAAAATTGACTAGATTTAAGTCAGGGTACATCATTTGGAAATTGTAATATGTGAATCAAGGATTGTTGTTTGTTATATATCGAATTAAATCAAATCGTTCATGTTGGAGCTGACTAATATGAAGTTGTTGACTTGAATCAGTTTATAAGTGAAATGAAATTGTGGAATAAATAATGATCAGAATAAATATGATCAACATGGAGTGAGAGAGAGCAAGAGAAAGCGAATAATGGAATAAAAATCAGAAATTACGTAATATGTAGGATAATATGAATTAGGTCAGATATAGTAGATAGGGGTGGATGCTGAATAAGTTTCTCTAAAAGCTTATCAAGTGTAATAATAATAACAATGATGAAGATAATAATAATTGAATAACTAGTTGGCCTCGAAGTTGGCCAGGTAAAAGGAGCGCCTGAACATATTTCTTTTGGATGTAAATCTTTGGCTTTTTGATCCAAAGAGCGATTGCTTCAGCCGTCTTCAGAATTCTCAGTCTGACGGAATTAGGTAGATCGCTGTGAACACGATACACAATTGCGAAAAATTGCTCCATGTTGGCTGTATGTCCCGTCTGAATTAAATGGTCTAAAATGGAGCTGTTAATCGTTTTAACTACACCTTGGCTTAATCACACAGGGAGGTGCTCACGTGCCCGAATATATAAATTCCTAGAACATTTACCGATATAACTTGCTTCACAGGAGCTTTTGAATTGGTAGATACAGAAAGAGTTGCCTAGTCTAGGCAATTTATCTACTATATCTGACCTAATTCATATTATTCTACATATTACGTAATTTCTGATTTTTATTCCATTATTCGCTTTCTCTTGCTCTCTCTCACTCCATGTTGATCATATTTATTCTGATCATTATTTATTCCACAATTTCATTTCACTTATAAACTGATTCAAGTCAACAACTTCATATTAGTCAGCTCCAACATGAACGATTTGATTTAATTCGATATATAACAAACAACAATCCTTGATTCACATATTACAATTTCCAAATGATGTACCCTGACTTAAATCTAGTCAATTTTATGGATTGTTAATATGGATATGAGATAATTGTAGAAGCTGATGAGAAATCCGTTGAAAGGAATATTCTTCGTTCAATATTTGTTTGTTTGAAATTTGATTAGTCTCGTGAAAATATGTTGTTTATTTCTTTTAAACAAAACAGAAATCAGGTACAACTTACCAAGTTTTACTATGATTAACAAATTCTTTGATTAATTTCTGAATTTTCTAATTTTGAATAGAAAAAGTTTTTTGTTGAATGAAATGACTTTCACTTACTTGATTTCCAACAGATTCACTTAATACTAATGCATTATGTCCATTCTACAATTATAAATACAAATGACAGAAGAGAATAATCACATAATTTGAAGGAATTTGTTTTCAGATTTAGGTTTAAAAACAACGATTTAGTGAAAATTGACTTACTGAAAGATAATGAGCAATATTTGCCTTCACTTACACTAAAATACTTTGTGATAGAAACCAATGCTAACTGAAAGAGATGAATCTCGATAGAATATAAGTCTAAATAATTCAGTAACTTTTTTCATAGTTCAATTAATGAGTTAATTAAAGCTAGACCATCATGGAAAGCTTGGAAGCACTGAACAACCGTTTCGTCCTAGTATGGGACTCCTCAGCAGTGCGCATCCACGACCTTGCTCGCGGGATTCGAACCCAGGACCTATCGGTCTTTCGCGCGAATACTTATCCTGTAGACCACTGAGTAGGCATCCTACTGTGTTAATGTTTAAATTAAATCAATCCATGAATATATTTAGATAGTTTCCTTAATTTAAACAAAGAATAGCATAATCTGTTCAATATATTGGATTTAATAAGTCTTTGCCTTCTCTAAAATCGGAATTCTCTTCAGTGAATATTGATATACACGGAAGAATAGAATTTTCTCTAGCTAAAATCTTTGATCTGTGATCGTAGGTAAAAAAAAAATGAGAAAAGGTGTTACTGTGTTATTTCATTCCCATTTGGAAGGCGGTTGTAATTCAACCACTAAAAATTGATTATTTTGGTTTTGTTTATTGCATTTAATTGGGGTTAGACGTTTTAGCAAGTTGTCCGTCATGTCTCTTGTATGTTGATATCTTAGATTATGTTCGATAAGCTAGCAGGCATCTTGTTGTTTTAGTGAGTCTGCTATAGAATATACTTACGTACTTTTGTTTGTGTTCTTATAGCGTCATTAGGGTTACTGATTTCACCGTGTGAAATTTACTTCAAGGCGTTACTGTAAGTTCTGTATCAGTCTTCCTCTCACTTCGCTCACTACACAACATCGGTCGGAAGAATATAAGGTTTTCTTCATTTAAGTCCTATCTACAGAATTTTTCGTCATATTTAATTAGAAAAATTCTTAAGTGTTTTCTGTTTAATTCAAATACTTCTGCTTAGTACTAAATATTTAAATCGATGTGAATAAAAGCTGCAAAAATCAAGATAAGTTGCACTTCTAACTTCTTTCCTATATATATAAATATATATGCATATATTTCTTCAGTAGCTTATCTACTTAAATCAATTAATTAATGGAAAGTCGTCATTTTTAAATTAATCCCTTTTTTTACATTAAAAATGGTATTGGTCAACCAAATTGTATTTCTAAGTAATTTTATTGTGGTTAACTAGATTTCTACCAGCGTATTAAGAGTCACTGTATACGAAAAATAATGGTTGGACGACATTTAGCATTCATTAATTTATTGTCTGAGTATATAATGCGTTTAGATAATCAAGATATATCAATTCACAACATACAAACTTCCAATAAATTTACCTAAATAAATAGCATCGTATGTTGGTTGATGACCGGTTAATAGAAACAAAATACTCAAGGCTTTCCAAAAAGTTTACTTACGTTTGTTTTTAAATTCACATTGGCATTATTTTCTAACAGAAACCGGCATAAATCATTGTGTCCAAGTAGAATACAATTATGTAGTGCAGTTTTACCATCACGATCTTGTGCATCAATATTAGCATTTAGTTTAATTAATTCTCTGGCTACCTCTACGTTTCCATTATTTTTTAAAGCGGCTATTATTATGTATAAAAAAATAAAAGTGAAACCATTTTGATGCAGTTCGAGTAACATCTATAAATTGGAATAAACTGGAATTTTTGAATAACACTTATTATATGTACACTGACATGACTGTATAACCATTCGCAATATATTCAAGACGGAATTCTGATATTTTGGAGAGAAAATTGAATCATATTGTCCTATTTGGGTTTCGTCAGTCAAGATTAGTTTACATTCCAGGTTTTTCATATTGAACTTGATTCTTTTATACTTCAAAGGTGTTGTATACTATTGACTTGATGTGATGTGATTGTTAGTTTTTACTTTCTTGTTGTTTATATTCAGAAGTGATATGATATTCTGATGCGTTCCAAATAAAGTGTCAACTCTAGATTCTATGGCTAACCTTTATCTAAATTGTTATTCGCTCAAAAAAATCATTCTATATTAAGAGGTCTTCTTGATGATTTTACGTAGATTGATCAGTTCAAACATTATGATAATCTGATTTTGCAAAAACATTTCACCTTTTATAAGTATCATAGTGATGTACACTAGATGGATGAAATATAGGATATGAAATGATAAAACATGCTTCTATTTAGCGAGTGGATTGATTGTAACTGAATATATATGGGACATACAGTATTCTATAAAACACAGTGATTAATATCGATCTGTATCAGTTACATGGCATAGTCCTATTACAAAATTATTAAGGGGAGAAAATTTACAACAGATCATAGTATTGGTTTGAATCAACCTCAACATGTAATATAATCAAAGTCGACAGAACGCAGATTCTTTTTTTCAATCTAACAGTTTATACCACTAATCTTAGAGGTAATAAAAAACCAAGAACATCGTTATGACAACATTTTACAGAGAATCATCATAGCTCGTGAATTTTACGTAAAAAATGCATACACTGAATGCAATGTTCATAATAAACGAATATCAACTGAAAAATTTCAGCTATTGAAGTTAAAATAGATCAAACACCTGGTTTAAGGTTCTTTCAGGAACAAAAGAAGCCTTGGCTAGACCGTCGAGCGAAACGGTGGATTTATTTTAATTTCAACCACTGATATTTCTAAGAATATAATTTCCGTTTTAAAACGAGATACAGTTATCTAATAAATTTACCACAACGTAATAAAGGTGTCCATCCAAGATTGTTATCCTTAGCTTCTAAATTAGAAGATGATTTAACCAATAGTCTGATTGCTCTTGGTTGCTCTCCATCTACTGCCATGTGTAAAGCAGTCAAACCATTTTTATCTGTGTGATTCACATTAGCTCCATATTCAAGTAGTAATTCCATACATTCAATGTTTCCCTAAATATGAAAACAAAACATTATTTTAGGTAGAGATGAATAGTTGCTAGCAGTAGAATCCATGATAAGCGTTTCGTTGGATGTACCTGCATCCCAGAGTTGATTTCCACTCTGCGAATCCTACCCAGTACTGCTGGCAGGTAAATCCAAATATGACGCGACGCGTATCATGTATTCCACTAATAGCCACATTATATTAATTCTATATCAACTTTTGTCATAAGGGCTATATCGAAGCAATCCGTACAGTTTGTCTATATGCCAACCGAGGCTGAATAAATTTGAGTCAAAAATATCAACAACGGGTAATACAAACCTTTCCAAATTGAATTATTTTATTTTTATTCATCAAATTTAATATAAATTATTGAAGCTTTTCTTGTAAATTATACTTCTATTTAACAGCTGAATATATGAAAAAAATTTTTAAGACCTGATATAAATATGTAGTTGGCTCAAGCTCTCAGATGTTTTCATATCAGTATGATAAGAGAAAACTGACGAAATTGGATTCGAATAAGTAAAAATAAGAGTAAACTAGAGGCAAAAAAACAACTTAAGAACTGTATTTAATTCTGGTGGAAGGGTTTGAAATAAAATTTTATTCAAGAATTCTCGGAAACTAATAAAGGAAAATTGTAACTATACATAATGCTTATTTCACACTGTGGCATGAAGATATGAATCTTTTTGATTGGCTTTGATCAATAGTTTAATTGTCTATTAGTTAACTTATTCAATACACTAACACAATTGAATGCCGGCTCAGTGGTCCAGTAGGTTAAGCGTTCGCGCGCGAGACTGAAGGCCCTGGGTTCGAATCCCGCGAGCGGGATCGTGGGTGCGCACTACTGAGGAGTCCTATACTAGGACGAAACGGCCAACCAGTACTTCCAGGTTTCCAACGGTGGTCTAACATCAGTCAATTCATGATCTCTATCAAAAACTTAATAATCTCCACAACCCCAATAATGACACATGAAATAGCTTGTGAGTCTGATTGTGGTGTAAGACGAGATCCTATATATTTATCATCTGTTGTGAGCAGATTTCAGGAAAGAGTAACAGGAGTATGCTTTATCAGTTCATTGAAGCAGTTGCATGTAATGTAGGTATTGACAGTATTATTTTGATAAACTCTACGACTACCTACTGTATGAGTGATAAACACTAAACGATAAGTTTATGCATACAAATAAGCCTGTGTAAACTATATATAAAATACATTGTAAATATTTGATCCATAGTCCTGATCTAGCTAGTCAGTTGGAAGTGATCTAAAACCACATACATATGTATATTAGGTCAAATTTCAACAATATACATAAAAAATTGAGGCAGATTAATCTGATGAAGTTCAACGAATTGTAAATAATTTTATTGTCGTTAATGATGGTGGTTTATCTTCAACTAACTCATGATCTGAACCATTGAAATAGAGAATAGTTTGAAGATAATAAATAAAACTGGGCAATAAAATTTATGAAATAATACACTCACGATTTTGATAAAAATAAAAAATGAGTGAATCTGTGCCACTGTGAACCATTTCCAATCATTCTTCCTAAGAACTCCTCACCTATCTATCTAATTTTACAGTTGTTCATTTTATGTAGTATTTTCATCTTTTTGGTTTAAGTTCACTTAAACTCCTTCCAATATACTTCAAAAATACAGTCGCAATTTGAAGTAATTACATGAAATGAAGTTATTAACTTCATGATAACAGTTAGTCAAAACGTTTTCTTGCTATTTGTCTGAACTACTAAATTGTAATCAGTAGATTTAAAAATGAGCTACGGATTTCGATTTCTCATTTATGTAGATCTCACCCAATAACGAAATACCCAAGTTGAAATGACATAGAATTTATGATCAACTAATCACAGAACAGATATAAAAAAAATTGCAAAAATAATGATGAATTTCATTGATTATTGAACGAATTTCTGTGAACATAGGCCATCGTTGTGTGTGGGGGGATATTAATTTATGTTGATTGAAACATATTTTGTAGCATACATCATCAAATCGTCTCAGAAATTCTGATCAGCTTTAGTTTGGGAATTACCTTTTTATCACTACTTCTTGAAAATTACTTTTTAAGAAATGATCTGTTATCTCAATTGAGTTAATGGTATATTAACAAAATTAACTGTTAGTTTTCATTTAAAACAAAATTACTAACTTTGAAAGCAGCAAACATAATTGCAGTTTTTCCTGTACTAGATTCTGTCTCTGTATTTGCATTAGCTTCAAGTAAGATTGACATCATTCTGTAAAAAAATATGAAGAAAGCATTTAGTTACTAGACGGATACTGTATACAATGTAGATGTAACAACTATTTTCTAATATACATATTTTATTAATGGCTAGGAAATATTTTAAAATATAAATCTATCGATTAAATAGTATCAATAGTCTTCACTTTCGAAAACCACATCATGAGATAATTAAAGTACGTAATGACACTTACTAATTGGATATAATAAAAAGTTCTGGATTTAAAGAATATTAGTCGATAATGTCACTGAATTTTAGACCAACTGAAGAACAAATAACAGACAAAAGTACTGGATAGTTCTTATGATTATTAGATTCAAAATTTTTTGAGAGGTATTTCAAAAAAACACTTCAATGAGCTGAACTATATTTAAGTGACTTTATTCACTTGTTATCCCGACGCTTCATTTTGTTAACCGAGATAATCGCAAGGTTCTTTCAAAGTTGTTTAAATGACAGATATATATTGATCAATGTAAACTGGTGTTTACTGAATTTACAAGTACTGGTTAACAATCCAATCAAATCTTTTTGTCCATAAACTTCGCTAGACACTGAACAATTGAGCACTAAATTTAAAGCCAATTTTCGCACAAAACAAAATTACATTTTGCATTATTAATGTCCAAATGTAAGGCAAATCTGTGATGTTATAAATTTCCAAAAAATCATAAATACGCTTAAAGAAATAGATGCACCTTTCTGATAAATTCAAACAAATTAGAAGCCAACATTTATGTTTTACTGTGGCTTATCTTCGAATGTTCACTAGCACTAGTAATCACTACATTTTTTTGTCTTTGATAAGAGATCTCTACATGATAAAGTTGTTCTTTAATAATTATTTATAATAAGTGTACACCTTTGACAAAACGACAGTTTAATACTTTTCATTTGGCAAGATTCTTTCAACAGGAATCCATTAATGGTTATCTAAAACTTTCAGCTGGCATATCGTAGAAAATGCATGTTCATTCACAACAGAAAGTTGCAAACCTCGCTAAATTTTGTAGTTTTGTATTACAGAGTGACCTTACTTAGTAACAGTTCACTAAATTCTAATTGGCTTTTGTTTGTTGTCTGAATAAAATCAGTCCATGATGGACATTTACACATATATTGAGCCCTTACAATACTAAATGGGTTCTATTTGATCAAAAAGTGACCAATAATTGAAATACGTTATCAATCTTTTTTCTGATGCAAAGTTTTATGTATACACAATGTAATACATTTATAGAATGGGGTTATTTATAACGTTCATTTTGGTAGTTAAGAATCCATAATTTCAGCAGACTTACTCTGAAAGATTTCGCTGGGCACAGTACATAAGAGCAGTAAATCCTAACTCATCTATTGCTTCCATGGATGCTTGTCTAGGAACAAAAATTCGAAATAGATGTCGTTTAAAAGTAACTAATATATATGAAAACCAAAATAATGAATAATAGGAAGCCACTGTATTTCGGATGAGAATATACGTTTAAAATATTCCAGATAATGACTGAAAAAAGTAAGTGCTTTGAGCTAAAATGTCAAATTATCAGCTATCAAGAGACAAAACAACTGGATATTTGAAATTTTTTGTCTGAGCAGGTTTATAGATAGAATGCTTAACAACAAAACAAATATGATCAAAAATCATTTAAAACACATGTGATCTAGGTTCTTGCAAAGACTAGAAAAGATTTTAATGTCACATTACTGTAATAGTTTATAATTTTAACTGTTCTCACCAAGCAATAAAATGATCTTCACTTAGTATTGTTTGCTTGAATCTTCCGATTGAGGTTTAAGACTGCAATTGATCAGTCTGTTATTCGTATATGTATGTATTGCCTCTATATTGCCTCAATTCACAAGCTCGATAAGCAAAGATGGGTAGTGGCTAGCAGTGGAATCTAGGATGCGTGAATCGTCAGCTGAATGTACCTGCATCTCATAGTTGATGTTCACTCTGGACCCATCAGGACTAAGTAGCTGAGTGGATAACGCGGTGGCGTTCTAAGCGAGCGATACAGGATTCGAGTCTCAGAGCGAACACCAACTGTGAGATGCAGGCACATCCAGCTGAGGAGTCCCAAATAGGACAAAACGCGCGTCCTGGATTCTGCTGCTAGCCACTATCCATCTTTACCTAATAAAATTATCTGTTTTAGTGATTCATAAAGTAGGCTTATATTTCATTAAGAATGAGGCTATTCTCAAAATTCTCAAATAAATTTATTAATTTTTGGCTATAATAAAGTTATCACTTTTTAAGGGATTCAGCTACCTATCTTAAACCATATAACGCATAGATTAAAATTTCGTATTGCCTAGTTATATTGAAATTTTCGTTGAATTTATTAAAAAGCTAAGTGAGCATAATTATCAATAGTTCAAATAACTTACTCTTTTTCAAGTAACTCGCGTAAACGTATGACATTTTCCTGTCTTACGGCAACATGTATTTCATGACCAGTTACAGGAAGTTCTAATAAGTAAAATACATTATATAGAAATTCATTTTTTTTAAAGAAAAAATTATTATCATTGTAAGCTTACGGTCTGTTTGAACATGTACCACATCACTCCAATTTTCAAATTCTTTTAAATTTTTAAAACGCATTCGAAAATAATATGGTGTATCAGGTTCTAAGTTTTTGCATGTACATCGATGATCGTAGCCACTTGAAAATTGTAAGAAAAAAATATTTTGTTGGGGATTTATTTTAAATAAAAAATTACATATATCCACTTTCCCAGTCTTCAGAAGAATCTTTCTTGAAAATTACTTCAGCTAATGGATTGATTTTCTTAGATTGTGCATTCATTTTTTCATGGATTTTATTTAGGTAGTCTTTCCAATCCAGATCTACAGTCACATAAGTTACACTAGTGATATTTGGCGGAGATGGTTTCCCTTGAATTTTATCATCTTTGAAGTAAGTTTTATTCATTTCGGTATCCTAATAAAAATAATTTTATTTGTTATGTCATGATGAAATACTAGTAATACAGAAAAACTAAACATAAATAATTATTTTAAAATACTAGACAGGTATTTCATGACAAGAATAAGATTTATAGATTATACTGTACAACACAGTTATCTAACTTGTCTCTATGTTAAAAATTACATCCACGTTGGGATAGATATGAAATGCAAAGAACTCTCATTACAAAAAGTCTTTTCAAACTTCACTATGTCCTCATAGAAACCATACTAATCTAAATGTATGAAATGATGATGTTTGGTTACCTGTTTATTCTTATTCTCACTGAATATACTTTATTCATGTCTAAAAAGTAGAATACATAAGATTGTTAATAATTTATTTTCACAAACTAACTTTATATGAAACTAGTTATTTTTTCTCAATAAACCATCAGCAACATATATAACTGAATGCATATAAAATCCAGCCGACTGAGAATATATATATATATATATATATATATATATATATATATAATCCATTTCTATTTATTATTCCCAGTTGGCCAAATTTTATATGAACTCAGTTGGCTATATTACGGACAGTCCATTAATAAAGCCGTTATGTTTACTCGTATTGCTATTATTATAAATGTTACTCTGCTATCAAATTGTTCTATATACTTTTTACTGACTATGATTAGTTATGAAACCTATTTCATCACTTTGATTGATTGATTTCATTTGTACATATAAATATGATGATGAAGAAGATTTAGACGAAAAAATATTATCATTTTGTGTTTAGTTTTTAAAATTATTGTTTTAAAGTTTTAAAGATACTATACAATGCTGAGACGAAGTAACAGTAAAATCAGTTGGTTCCAGAAACAAAAATTGTTTCTCAGGAAAACAAAATTTATTTTTCTGTTTATTAGTTCATCCAGATTGGTGAGGCGAAATTCAATGAAAATCTGATTTTTCAATGTAATGAACGGGAAAATCTATAAATTTTCATCATTAAACAAGTGATCAGGTGTTAGACGGTTCGTGAAAATACTATTAGATTTAAAATAATTTTAAAATAAATTGCCTAAACATTTACTTGCTTTGGCGTATTGATCATTATTCTATTAAAAGTTATTATAAATCTGTCAAATTTACATGGTGAAATACATTTAAAAATAATAAAAAAATTGATTTACAGCTCCTGTCATATGTTGCTGAAAGACGCTAAATGCTTAATTCGATGATGAGTAAACACCACCAGAATAAAACTGTGTGTATACAAGGATTTCTTTCAAATTTTGAACGACTAATAGAGCAAAAGATTTTTATTTAAATTGATTGCAAGTTCATCAGTAATTATCGCGTATATAAACAACTGTATACACGTAGTTTGAAAAAAACTACAGAAAGCTCTTTGTTTTAAAACATTTTAATACTTGTGACTCGCATTTATTTCAAATCTTGGATGTTTTCTTGTTCAGTAAAAGTCAGATTTCGCTTTAATCAGGAGCTTGACGAGCAGTTATACGGTAGTTTAAAGTAGTTGAGTTATCAATAACAGAGAACATTTTTATTCCCTCAACTAATTAACGCTTAAAATTCGTGTGGATTTAAGATTAACCTAATGTTGTTGTATCGTGAATAGGCTTCCACATATCTTAACACCTGCTACCAGTTTTTCATGAAATATGTTCGATTTTGTTTGGTTAATAATGGCTTTGGACCATGTAGTTAATGGATGAAATTCTATAGAAAACCATCCATTAAGCCCAAGGATGGAAAGTGAACGTTGCTATGTTAACGATAAATACTAAAAATGTCGTTTTGAGTGTTTGCTACTATATTATTTCTATTATTCTTCGGATTAATTTTTCAGTTGCGTACAGTACTAAGTGTTTCGGTACTGTGGGTAATTTGTGCAGAAAAACGTAAAACAATAGTCGCTAAGGGAAGTTTTCTTACCTTTTTATCTCCTTGACATAAAAGTATTCTAGGTTTATGAGGCAAATTAAAAACTAACTCTACGCTTGTGATGGATCATTTGAGAAGAATTATGGGCTTAAATATAATAAAAGTACTTTTGATAGATACTTTTCAAGAACCTTCATCACACTGGAAATATGTCCATTATCTAAGGGAAAACAGTCTTTCAGACTGTATATCAGCGTGAAGTTCGGAAAACAGAAATACAATTACCTTAGTCTTAACATTCATAGTATAGAGTTCATTTAAACTTGAGATTACTTAGCATCTGTGGCTCATAAATTTCATCGTCTGACATTTATAGATGGAAATTTAAATAACAAACCTTGCATACAAGGATAATTTATGAGATGTTGGTTTTTCAAAGCAAATAAATAGTAGGTCATTTTATTTTTCAAGAATACTTTGAGTACTGTATTCGATGTCTGCGTCTTAACCCTTTATGAAGTGGTGCATTTTTCCTAGCAGTGCAATGGGCATATGTTTTAAACGTAGGACAGGACAATGATGATAGAATAAAGGAACATTATTTATCATTCATGAGGATGTACATACATTTTGTGTAATATATTTTAACTTAATTTAGTTGATGGTAGCCAACCAAAGTAATTTTCATATTGATAACTCATAAAAATAGAGAAAGTTTGTCACATGAATATCCTTTGTTAGTTTAATATTATTGGGTTTTTGGGATTACCAACGATAATTGTAATAAATACCGTAAACGTTAGGCTGTACGTCTAAACAACACCTTTGGACTTATAGGATTTTAGTGGCATGATATAGGCATGGTACCTAAATCATACTACAAATTATTGGTTAATATTTCAAGTATTAGTTTGATTGACCAATACTAACGCTTCAGTTTATTTGTACATCCGTATAGTTAACATCTTCAAATAACAAATATTCATGTTTTTGTTGGTTTTCCTGGCCTTTTATCTCTCTTTTCGTAATCCTAGATACCTTAGGTGTATTCATCGATCAAGTACGGTGAATACAATCATAGGTCAAAATAGATTTTTTAGCTTTTCTACCGAAACATACATATGCTGTTGAGTCAGTTATAAGCCTAAAGTGTTGTTAAGCTCAGTTGTTCTGTAACAAATGGTGAACCCAGATGTCGAAGTATTTAAATTTCCATCCAACTAACTTTTCGCCTATTTGGTGTCAATATTTGAACACCCGAATGACCTCCTTAGGTTATCGTAGTACTAACTAATCAGAAAACCAAATATTTCCACATGTCCAGTAATCGTAAGACATTCTACTATGATATTTCATCATTATTATAACCTTTTATTTTTTACAACCTTTTATAATTGATCGAGTACTGAGTTGGCAGCTTTTTGAAGATGGTATGACCATACCAAAAGTGTCGCCACACTTCTAAATTCCATATTCTCCACCTTGAGTGCACGTTATTTTCAGTAGAAAAACAGATATCATCGGGTTGATCTGATGAACGTCTTTGGAATACGAGTTTTAGTTGTACATACTCTGAATCGAGTCAGAGTATGTGATTATACGATATACAAACCCACATATAACTACACATTTTACTAGAATTAATGCAATCAGACTCATACAGTTCAAACAGTTATGGGCGAAATAGAAGCACTCGCTTAACAGACTTCCTTATCTAGTAGCAGTGGATCACCGATGCCTCCAGGTAAGAATCTAAGTGTGGGAAGTGGATATACTTTTCCAAAGTTTAGCCGCGCAACTACTGAATGATAATCTGAAAGCATCCTGAATAACGTCTGATAGTTAAAAAGTTTAAAATCGGTGTGTATGTATTCCGAAATTGGTTTGATGTGCAGAAACAGCTGAGACATATCCTAACTGGTTAAGCAGGAAAAGTGAGTAGCGGGAAGAATGTCTCATTTTATCGAACTTTTGAGGTGCCCAGACAATGAAAAACTACTTCATATTTTGAAGCGGATTTGAAACAACAATCGGTTTATTATTTATGTGCACTAGCACAAAATATTAAAATTTTCAAACCCTAAAGTTCGGACCAATTTTCTAATTTAAGTGATTGAAAAATGCTGTAGACATTATTATCTTACAACGATCAAGTCAATATAATCTTGAAAGAAAGGGTGAGAACATCATATGTAAATACTTATATTTATTACATCTAAATATTCGAAAACCCACAAACTTAAGTGACCCTGGTATCAAATGTATATACAATATCCAATATCTTCGTGTCGAGCTTCCGCAAACTGATCGATTCCTTTATACAATTACACATCTTTGTCATGTCTAATAAGCGATAATCTGGTCTTGTCAATAAGCTCAAATGAATATGTATTAAGTCAACATTAACTGACTGGCTTACTTCAAATATAGATAATAGACTTCTTAGGATCATCGTAAACTTCACTTATTTTCAGGCCACAAAATGTCCAAGTATGGTTCGTCAGGGTTCAGTAATAAGATCTTTCTTAATTTGCATAAATCATATTTCTCAGAAGTATCGTCTGATTAGTTTTCGTTGACAATGTTGAAATTTGTTGAAATTTAGTAAGGTGGCATTTCATGGGGGTCCAACTCTACTCCAAAGGATTGCGGATAGTGACGGGCTTACTTTCAACACTTTAAAGTGTTAGGTAGTCCATGTGAAACATCTTGAAGACTACGCAGACAACATAGGTTACTCCCTTCTACAGGTATTGAAGTTGGGAATGGTCTGAGAATGTTGATGTCCTATGATATAAAAACTTGCGACAGTTGCAATAAAGATGTCTTTCGAGCAAACATTACGCTGATAGCGTTGTAGAGCACTTTTTGTCGATTCGACGTTAGAAGATTCCACTTAATCTTTAACGCTTAGTAAACCTTATTTAGAGTGTAGTGACCTACTTTTGTTAACAGAACGCGATTGGTTCGATGAAAATAATTATTATTATAACCAATTGTACCAGTGACTGTTTTAGTGTGCTCGCTTGTTTAACTGTGCTAATAACAGCCATATTGGTCTTCCATTGGACTCCATTACTTCTACGTGGTTTGTGACTATGC